GGCTTCGAGGCCTTCCCGACTGGTCCAATGACTAGCTCCTGCCATTGCCTTGCAATGTCTGTGGTGTCCTTGAGTTCGTTGCGATCGTGAATCGCACGCGCCAGCGTTCGCCGCACGGTAGGATCACATCTGGCCAAATCGCGAGCGATCGTGGTGAATATTTTCTCGTGCCGAAAGTCTGCTCCTCGTGTGCGATCGAAGCAGAAGAAGGCTCCCAGACCCCCCTGCTCACTAGACCAGTTGGCTATTGTATGTGCGATAGCTGATTTGCCTTTCCCTGCAGTGCCGGACAACCAGAAGATGGACGGCACGTCCTTCTCCGTGCTACAGATCCAGGACTTGATCTCGGACAGAATGTCCTCCCGAGTGCCTGGGAGACAACGCTTGGAAGTATTGAAACCAGCACCATCAGCACACATCATGCTGCTGAGGTCCAGATCCTCCCCTAGGCAACACGTCGCCAAACGTCAGCGAAGATTCGGAGTGAATGAAGTCGACTCTTACCGGCACGGTGAATGGTGACCACAGCGTCACGAATTGCTTGATCTCTGAACTGCTGCATGAGACTATCGAGAGCCTCGCTGAAGCTCTGAATCTTGGCATCTGTTTCGCTGACGATGTTTTTGCCAAGTCTTAGCCCTGCACGAAGAGACAATATTGAGTGACAGGCCATGCAGTAGTGCAATCGACTCACAGGCGCTCTTTGTCTCAGAGTAATGGGTGATGAAATCGGCACACTCCAGCGTCTGTCGCGCTATCTTTCCGTATATCGCTATCATCGATTCAATTTTGGCCAATGCTTCGTCTTGCGTCATGAAAGCATAGATCTCCGACATCTTCTGGAGCAGACTAGACACAGCAGCATCGCGGTCTGCCTGAGCGATGATCATCTGTCACTAGATATCAATAACCTGCGAATGTGAGAATATGGAAGCAAGAGCACCTTCGACGCGAAGGTGAATATGCTCAATGCCACCTTTGCATAGGGATGGACCTAAGCAACAAGGTCAGTCAGTTACAAAAATCGAGATAGACGCTCGTACATCTGCAAGCCCATCAGCGACGGAGTTGAACAGCTTCAGTGGTCCAAGAATCACGGAGAACGTGTCAATGGTATTTGGAATGGATTGTTAAAGAGCGAGAACTAAGGTAGCGTGAGTCTCAGTCAATGGTAGAAAGACTCTATTCGTGTAAACTAACCTAAGGTAGCGTGAGTCTGTAGGACCGCTAGTAAGTATCATGTATAGTATAATATGAATGGTATGCGCACCTCAGTCAATGGTAGAAAGACTGAGGTGCGAGTATAGCGTCTAGCCATCCTTAAATAGAAAAGAGAAAATGGTCAGTAACTAGGGTGGATGACGTCCAGTGACACTGGCAGCTAAGGTACATAGAACTGGAACAGTTAGATATATTTATCTGGAACCGGCTCGGTGCTCTGACGGATCACCTCTCAACACTCCCACTCGTCAGAGCGCCTGGCAGGTCTTGACGACGTAGTCCCATGTTTTCCCGATGCTGGATCCCAGCTGGGCGAGGTAATGCCTTCGTTAGACTATCAGCAATCATCTCCGAGGTGGATTTGTACTGGAGTTCGATCTTGTTCGTGTCGACGAGGTTGCGGATGAGATGGTAGTGGACGCGAATATGTTTGGCTCTTTCGTGGAATCTTGGATTCTTCGAGAGCGCAATACTGGACTGGTTGTCTCCATATAGGAGTGCGGGATCGTAGAGTTCGGGGTCAAGGCGGAAGTCGTGTAGAAGCTGGATTAGATATAATGCTTCGCGTGAAGCGTTCGATAGACCTATATATTCGGCCTCCGTGGTCGAGGTAGCGACCACAGATTGCTTCTGAGACTTCCAACTAATGGGCCCTCCGAACAGTTGATAGACATAAGCGCTGGTGGACTTGCTATCGTCTCGATCTGCAGCATAGTCCGAATCCGAGTGTCCAACGAGTCCCTCGTTCGACGAGCCGAAGATGAGTACTAAATCCGTAGTTCCACGAATGTACCGGAGAAGATGTTTGAGTTGACGATGATGGTCGATACTGGGGTTCTCCATGTATCGGGAGAGGCATGAAACTGGGTAAGCGATGTCGGGGCGAGTGGTTCGCATAGCATAGTTGAGTTCACCGATAGTTCGGCGATATGGGATCGACGCAATGGCGTCCGCTTCTTCACTCGTTGGGGGACGTGTAGCCTTCTGCAAGGTTACTCCAGGTGTCATAGGTGTACTGACAGGATTGCACAGTGTCATGCCGGCGTTCTCGAGAATCTTCTCAAGGTAAGCCTTCTGGCTAATGGTGAGGAGCCTCTTCTCACGGTCGCGCATAATGTGCATGCCAAGGAAGTGGCGAGCGGGACCGAGATCCGATAAGTCGAAGCGTTGTTTTAGCTGTGTCTTGAACTTGTCCAGGTAATCGCGAGAGTTCGACGCTGCGAGCATGTCGTCGACATAGACGACTAGCCATATGACTTTGTCTCCCTCGTGGAGGACATACAGACTGTGATCAGCTTCGCTCCTTACGAATCTGAACCCCTCTTTCCGCAGGTACTCATCCAGTGTCTGGTTCCACTCATACCCCGCCTGCTTCAACCCATAAATCGCTTTCTCCAGCTTCCACACCCAGTCCGGATGTTCAGGGTCTTCGAAACCAGCCGGTTGCTTGAGGTAGATGTCCTCCTTGAGGTCAGCGTTGAGGAAGGCGGTACGTACGTCCATCTGGTCCAGTTCAAGGTCGAATTTCGCCGCGAGGGCGAGGAGAATACGAACTGTGTCGTACTTGGCGACGGCCGCGAACGTTTCTGTATAGTCGATCCCCTCAACTTGCGTGTATCCCTGCGCGACGAAGCGTGCCTTGTGACGGGTGATGTTGCCTTCTTCATCAGTCTTTACCGTGAACACCCATCTCGAACCAATCGCTTTGCGTCCTTCTGGGAGTGGCATGAGTTTGTGTGTTTTGAGGTCCTGCATTGACTGTAGCTCGGATTTGCAGGCATCTGACCATTGAGGCCACTCTGGTAATGACCGAGCTTTGTTGATGGTTTCGGGTATGACTATGTTTGAGCGTTTGGGAGGTTCGGTAGGTCTGGGAGGTTCGGTAGCTGTGTGCATTGCGGATTCGGTACTGTCGTTGTCGTGCTGACTGGCTGAGGACTCTGGTACATATGTCCAGCGTTCGGCAACAGGAACTCGTCGTGTTGGTATGGCCGTTGCGCTGGTGCCAGAGGGTGCGATATGGCCTGCTTGTACCGGTTGGCGTGAACGAGTGCTGCGACGAGGCGGAATATCCAATGGAGGTGCAGGGGGAGGAGGTACTGGAGGTTGCTGTGGGATAGGCGGTGTTACCTGTTCAGTTGGGTCAGGTGTTACTGGCAGATCGTTCTGGTCAGGTGGGTCGTCATGCTCTCCCACTGACACCTGTGGTACGCAGTCAGCAGGGGTCGATAGAGGTGGCTCACCAGCCTGCGCTCCCACTGATTGAGAGACACCTCCCACCGATGAAGTGACAGCAGGGAGATCCGTCGAGTCACGAAGGAGAGGAGCGAGGGGTGAGGAAGCAGGATCCCCATAGAACACGTGTTCGTCGAAGTGGACATGACGGGAACGCACGACGCGTTTGGTAGAGGGATCCCAGAGAGTGTAGCCTGCATTCCGTACATGGCCAAGTAGGAAGCAGCGACGAGAGACGAAGTCGTACTTGCGGCGGGTGTCCTCTGGTATGTGCGCATAGGCAAGGCAACCGAATGGGCGAAGGTAGCCGACGTCCGGCTTGCGACCATAGAACACCTCAAATGGTGTGCGACCAGCGAGAGATGAGGAAGGGAGCATGTTCTTGATGTGGGCTGAGTTCAGAATTGCCCAGCCCCAGAACGAACGCGGGAAGCCACTCAGGTGGTGTGAACTGAGTGCACGAGTGACAATGGTTTGGTGCCCGCGTTCCGCGACACCATTTTGCTGGGGAGTCCAGGGCATGGTGGTTTCGTGCTCAATACCATGTTCCCCAAGATAGGTCAGAAATTCCCTCGACATGTACTCGCCTCCGTTGTCACTGCGAAGCCGCCTGACACGCCCCCCAGATTGCGTCTCTATCCAGGGCATAAAGTGCCGGAAACGATCAAAGACTTCGGATTTGGCACGCATTAGATAGACCACTGAGTACCTCGTGTAGTCATCAGTGAATACCACAAAATAGTGGTCACCGGTAGAGGAAGTGATGTTGACTGGTCCCCAGACGTCGGAGTGAACGAGGTCAGCTGTCGCTTTAGCGCGGCGTGCAACGGCAGGAAAGGGAAGTCGTTTATGTTTTCCCATAACACAGGACACACAGTGTATCGTGTCGGCGCCGTCGACGTGATGATGCAGCGTGGTCTTGTCGATGTTCATTCCACTGACATGTCCCATGGCCTTCATAATGGTCGAAAAACCAGCATGCCCAAGACGACGATGCCACGTATTGAGAGATGGAGGCGTAGCCTTTGTGAGCATCGCGCGTGCAGGGGTGGAATAAGCCATGTGGTATGTCGCATCTAGCAGATATAATCCGCCTTTCTGGTGCACGTGGGCAATGTACAGCCCATTGCCATCGTTAGAGCGCAGTGTTCCCCCTTTGGAGGTTGTCGTGAAGGATATACGAGCAGAGGCGAGGGTGGAGACCGAAATGAGTGTGCAACGTAGATCGGGGACATGTAGGAACTCGAGCTCGTGTTCCGTCAACGAATCACCAAACCGGAGAACAAGCTTCACTTTACCCCATCCTGGAGCTAACACCACATGCTCATCAGCTAATGTCACACGGATAGGTTCATGCAGTTTCACATAGTGAGAAAAGCGTGATATTTCGGGCTCCATATGAGCCGTTGAGGCAGAGTCTACATGGAAGGATCCAGCCGGTAAAGTAAGGGCTGATGAGATATTGGCTGAGTGATCCTTTAGCGTAAGGACGAATGGAAGTGGTGTGATAGACTCGTCAGTTGGGTCTGGCAGGGAGGACACCGTGTCAGCGGTGGTAGCGGCAGGGGAGGAAGGACTAGGTGCTGACTTTGGAGTCTTGTCGTCCTTGGAGAGCCGTGCACGGCACTGTACCCAGACATGACCGGCCTTTTGACAGTGGCCGCATTTAGGTCGCCATCCTACTATCCAGCCATCCCCTTTCGTCTCATCAAATCCTTTCGGTGGGACACGATCGCTGGTCTTGGGGTTGGAGGAGTTTCCTCCTCGGTGTCCAGAGAGCATGGCCATGTGGTCACTGCCACTGGTCCCAGCAGCGGTGCAATTCCTGAGTCTTCAGGCGATTCACAACATCGCTGAAGTCTAGCGAAGTGTCACTGTTGACGAGGGTTTGACGAAGGGGGTCGTAATAGTCAGGTAGGGTGCGCAATAGAACATGCACGAAGATTGCGTCCGGGATCTTGTACTCGTCCTTTGCCGCAGTTGTAACGACACTGGTGGTGGAGGGTGCGACTGTGGTGACAGAGAGAGCTGCAAGGTCTGATTTCAGCACGGTAAGGGTTTGCATGGTTTGGGCGATGGAGGCACTGTCATGCGCCTTGGGAATGGTGAATAGGCGGTCCAGGTATTGATTGAATCGAATAGCTTTTTGGGGAAGGTACTTCTTCTCTAGAGCAATCCACGCCACGTGCGGATCATCTATATCGCGGAGGTGGACGAAGTCCTGCGCATCAATTGCCGTGGACAGAGCGCTGAGAGCGAGGAGTCGGCGTTGCTTGTAGACTCGTACTCGCTCGTTGTGTTTCTCTGCGCGAATAATGTTTTGATCCACGTCCGTGAGTGTGGCTGGAGGTGATGGTTCCGTCTCGTCGCCGTTGATATATGGCCATAGTCCAATGCCGCCGGACCACATCTTAAAGCCAGTGACCCATTGAGAGTAGTTGGATCCGTCGAGGGTGAGCTTCTCATGCGGATATCGTTCAGTTTTGGGAAGGGAGTCAGGAGACGACATGGTAGTGTCAGAGCCGAGTGGTTATCGGCGAGAGAATGAGAGATTTCGAGGAGAAGATGTCGCTACCCTTTAGTCAGGGCTCATAACCTGTTAAAGAGCGAGAACTAAGGTAGCGTGAGTCTCAGTCAATGGTAGAAAGACTCTATTCGTGTAAACTAACCTAAGGTAGCGTGAGTCTGTAGGACCGCTAGTAAGTATCATGTATAGTATAATATGAATGGTATGCGCACCTCAGTCAATGGTAGAAAGACTGAGGTGCGAGTATAGCGTCTAGCCATCCTTAAATAGAAAAGAGAAAATGGTCAGTAACTAGGGTGGATGACGTCCAGTGACACTGGCAGCTAAGGTACATAGAACTGGAACAGTTAGATATATTTATCTGGAACCGGCTCGGTGCTCTGACGGATCACCTCTCAACAGAGCAGACTCCAGAGCAAGATGCTGGGCGCCGAAATTCACAACATCTATCTTCTTCTGCGGAACAATTGCGAGTTTTGAACCTTGCATGCACCACAGAAGCAGGAATGACTGTCTTCCTTCAGTTTATTCGACTTCGTCAGCTTGAAATATTTATGCGGATCGGTCGATTTGGCATTTTTCGATCAAGCCGGAACCTTGTCGCTGTCCAATGCCGACACCAAGGTCCAAAACGTCATTCGGGTCCGTATATATACGTCAAGCTTTTCAGTGAAGCGATCTGCTCATCTCTTCCCGTTCCCCATCCCCGCCTTCGACCACATCTCAACATCTGATATAGCTATCCTCAACACAAAGCAAATAAAATGGGCTGCTTCTCCAAAGTGTCCCAAATTTTCTACGATGTTGGGATCATATCTTGGGATGTCCTCCTCACGCTCCTCAACCTCGTGAGGAGTCAGCGCCGCATCGGTCATGTCACCCCCGAGGGTCATCCAGGCTATGGAGGGCACTGGCCTGAGTTTAGATTTCCCCAGGAGACTGACTCTCGCTGCGCGTGCCCCGCACTCAATGCGATGGCCAACCACGGTGAGTTCTACAAATCTCGGTGTTTGATGGTGGCGGTATAGCGTGACGACATTAAAACGTACTAGGCATCATCTCGCGTACCGGCCGTGGGATCTCATTTATCGAACTTAATCACCATCTCCGGGCAACCTACAACTTCAGCCCTACCTTCTGCTCATTTGTGCCGCACTTTGCTGCTCGCATGCTTAAGCGAAGCTACAGCAAGGATACCTTTAATTTGGAAGAAATTGACCTGCACAATGGCATTGAACACGACGCATCTCTCTTACGTGAGTGATTCAGTAATCTTGTCCAGTTTCTGTATGCCGAGTAATTTGTTTTCAGGCCTTGACACTGCTTTTGAACCCGACCAATCGAAGAAGCACGTACCTTTCATCAAGGAGCTGCTTGCGGCAGCTACTGGCAAGGACAAGAACGGCGACGACGTAATTACCCCCAAGGATTTCTCCAAGATGCTTGGCAAGCGTCGGGCAGTGGCGCGTGCAGTAAACAAGGAGTTCTCGCTGAGCCTTTTCCACAAGATCTTTGGTAGCACGAAGTATGTAATTGCATCATCCGTTTCCAAGCGCACCCTGAACGTTCTGTCAGTGCTTCGACCCTAGTGACGGCCTTTGGGGGTCGCGTGGATGACCTGCATAGCTTTCTTCTTGATGAACGGATCCCAGAGGGTTGGGAGTCGCGCGTCCGCCAACCTTACGGAATGACCATGATGAACCTCAACAGGACTATACTGAGAATTGAATTTGGTGTGCACGAGAAGGACTGGGCGGAAGCAGCACGGGAGGCTGCAGAAGGCCACAGTGCTTAACAATACACCCTGAAGCGGCACTCGTGACGCGTCTGGAGTCATTTATCCATCACACGCACCCAGATGTCTGCTCTCACTTGGTGATCACGGCACCTACTTACTGCTGACGACGAGTACAATTCGCTCATTGTCTCTTGAATGTACATTAATCCTCTTCGTTGTTTCACTCCTCTTTAATAACAGAAATTATGCACTATTTCGACACCGATCGAAGACCGGTACGGCTGCCCTTCAACCCCCAGAAAGATCACTGTACGTCCAGGCCTCCACGTACTACTGTATAACTTCGCGGCGTTTCAGGTGTGACCATGTCGCCCATCTATGTCGCGAACGTCAGGAGGATTACCTTACTCTTGGCGTCCTCACTACTTTAAATACGATGCAGGAAACCCAACATGGACCTAGCGTCTTTGAAGAAGTTCGAGGACATGAATAAAATACACGGACACATGTATATAGCTGACTTTGTACTGGGGCTTATTCAGACAAGCAAGGGTGATAAGCACTGGCCATTAGTGCGAAGATACTGAGGCGCCGGCCCATAGATGCAATCTATATTATCCAATAAACCATCAAGACTATCAATATCAACATAGTCCTAGGGCGGCAAAGGAGCGCCACCAGTGGCTGTAAGAGGAAGGGGATTGAAGCTGTCGAAGGCACTAGTACTTATTGGCATTGTCGAAGAATGAGAATGACTTATTTGGCCATCTACGCCAAATCTACGCTAGTAATAGCTCAGGCGCAATAATATTTACCTTGATGGCTCAACTGGAAGCGAAAGATAACCCGCAAGAAAAATATGAAACCGTAAGAAAAACTAGGAGGGCCCCAGTAAGGCCCCAGTAGCAGAAACTACAGAATGATGATGACATATGCCTATTTGGCCATCAAGAACACTACGAGGAAAGAAAGTAGAAAGAAGGGGAACGCCAAGTACAACAGACTGCGCACATGGGGAAGCGCTTCTCGTGTAAATTATTGCAATTTACAAATATAATGAAACTCACCTAAAAAGAAAAAAGTTTCAAACGAGTGTGGCTGAGTAGTACTCTAAGTAGTACCCGACGCGCGTTACACAACAACATTCAACTGAGTATATGCGCGACTATGAGTCAACTCGGGTCCGACGATGATACTCGCGACGACGCTAGAGTCCATGGCAATGGTTTCAATGAAAATGGTATGTTTTTATCGCAGTACTGAACAGTGAACACCAGGGACCTTATGTTGTCATTATAGAACCTTTGGAGAGCGCATATAACAATGGCAAGGGTATCGCAGTCTCCGTGACATTTACCCCACTTCTACCACCTCCAGCAACTGGAGAAAAACGCCGCAAGAATGCTAAATCACCACCCATAAACCGTGCCTTCTTCATCCACGAAGATTCAACCCTCCGCGACCTTCTCGATACAACATTCGAACACTATGACGTCTCCGAGAAAATGATGTACGGTATTGGGAATCGATCAGGTCTTCTCTCGGCTACCAACTTCACGATCACGTACACAATCCTTCGCACGAACTATAAGAATATTGTTCTCGCAAACCTCAGTGATTTCGACACAATCATGGAGGAAGTCAAAGAACACCGGTCACCAGCCTTCAAATTGACTATCATCGAGACCAAGGTATGTATTTTGGGTGTTTGTATGTGATTTGCAGTAAGCTAAATACATGGTAGTATGATGATGGCGAAGAAGCTGAAGAAGATGAAGAAGCTGAAGCCGAACCTGCGGGTAAGAGGGTGAGATATATGTGTTTCGATTGTCTTCTTGTCACTCATGTTGCAAAGGCTGCAACAGGTCCAACTGACGAGGAGATAGAGCAAAACGAGGCAATTGCAAATCTGACTCGTCAGTATACCTGCGAAGACCGAGCATGTGGTTTCCGTATCTGCTGGCCAGCTCCACCAGACGCCAAACACGTCAACCTGACACCATTACATCTCAACACGTGGGCTGCTGCGATGGTCTGCGTGATGTTCTGAAGTATGTAATCTGCATGTGTCACTAACAGGGTTATTACACAATAGGTTGGTCCGAACAAGCAGCCAGGTGTCGACTTAGACAATCCGCCAAACACGAAGATTTTCGATGTTACATACGCAGACCCGACTGATATTGCTACTCTCTCACGTCGACGTCTCAATACAGTTACCCAAACCCAATCCTCCGCACCAAGTATTGTCATCAACAATGACTTCAAGGATATTGTGGGCCTCCTGCATGGCAAACGTGGACCCGATCACGCTGCCAACATCCCACAGCCTGCTGCTCTTCGTCCGAAGTTGAGTTTGATTGATTTTTGTGAACGCTTCAACCTATCGCTATGGCTACGTGAGAAGTTGGACAACATTGACGTGACAGGCCCACACTGTCTTCGGTTCCTTCAGAATGCTGACTTGCTTGGTGCTGGACTGTCTCTTGGTGAGCTTGCAGATATTCGCGATGCTGAGGAACGGTGGATGCTTGATGCTTAGTTTGTATGGCTCCGAGCTTTCAAAGTGTATTTTTCGGCTGCAGTATTCACAGACACCCATTCATAATATTATGCTACTGTATTGTAACAATGCTATGGTCAAGCAAGATAACCCGAGTGACGAAAGAAGCCCCAAGTCATCTCGGGTGTTATGACAGAACATGCAGTGTACAGCTCATAGTAAGGAGCCTTAGGCCCATAGAACCCTAACCCTTGGCGACGGAGATGTGACTTGATTGCGGAGAATGCTTGCTCAATAGGATTGAGATCCGGGGAATATGGTGGTAAGTATTCAATGCGGCACCCTGACAAAATAGTGAGACAACTCCGTATCACAAGCTTTATTATACTGACCATAAGCATGAACAAGCTCTTCGATTTCCTCCGCATGGTGAATACGAGCATTGTCCATAACCAACACACTCCGTGGCCCTGGAAATGGAGTCGTGATAGGAAGCTAATAATAACAGGTTACTGATACATCACAACGACACTGACAGTTTGAAAACGAACCACATCATTTTGCAAAAAATCGATGAAAGTCTTGCGATTGAATGATCCTTCAACAACTTTTGCAGCAATGATGCCCTCATTGAGAGCCAATCCTGCTACCATTGAAAACCGACGTTTCCGAACAAATGGTTGATGCTGCTCAGCACGTGCACCTTGCGGAGCACGTCCCCAGCGACGCGAGTATGTACGGTCATCTTTTGAAACTTCATCCAAACAGAGTAATGAAGCTGGCGAGTATTGCGAGACACGACGAACGAAGTCTGCGCGACATAGAGAGTCACGTTCAGCTGCAATCTTCTCAATGTGCTTGAGATTGATGCCAGCACGCTCAAAAGATCGGTGAATGGTGGATAGTGATGTCTGTAGAAACCGGCCATCCTGAAGTCTCAGCTGGTATTCATCGAGGAATAGGGTGGGGTTATGGCGAGCAAGCCGAATGAGGAACTGGATATCATGCTGGGTGAAAGTACGAGGCCTGCCCCTGCCAATTGCCTGAATTTTGGCTACACTGCCAGTGGCTCGTTTACGACGTTGTGTGCGGTAGATGGTTGACTTTGAGATCTGTGTGATGGAGAGGATTTCTTTGGTTGCATATCCTTTGTTCGCCATTCGCAATGCAGCATCTTTGAGGTCGTCGCTGATCCGTCTATTGCCCATCGTGGAGAAGAGTAATGTGTGACTCACGAGATGCTGGCTGAGGCTGTACGCTGCTGTATGCCACACGCAACAGGTGACCAATTCCGAAAATATATATTTTTACACATTCGAAGAGTGTCATTGTTTATGAAAATCGCAATAAATGAAGGAAGTGGGTACTGCCCTCGAAACACGGCGCTTAAAATACATGTACGTACCCACCCCAGATAGCACCCCACATCACTTCAGGAATCGTTTCTTCGTCCTTCGACAAGACGCTTAACGTCAACTTGACGCAAAAATGTGCAATGTCAGTGACTTGATATTTATCGCACACCCCTTGGTGAGGAGACCCGCCATTTGTGGATCATCATACAAGTTCATAATCATAATCTTCAAGTCTTCTTCTGCGGAACAGATTACGAGAATTATAGACGCTCACCATAAATACCTCGGAGACGCTTCTACTGAACTTTGATATAGAAGAAATGACCGTTTCCCTTCAATTTAACCGGCCTAGACTGTTACTATCTTATCATGGGACTCTCTGGAGGAAATTATGAGCTTGTAGCTCGGCAAATACGTGTGGATTCGTGGTACAGAATAATTTGATCAAGGTGACACCCCCTCGTTGTTGGTCTAATGATACTAATGGTTGTTCGGATTTCCTATATATAAGTAAGCTTCTTAGCAAGAAGCCTATCTGTTCACCTCTTCCCATCCCCAATTTCACCTTCCACTACGTCTGAACGCCAGATATACCAACCCTTGACGCAACGAGTAAAATGGGCTTGTTTTCCGGCGTGTCGCAGCTTTTCTTTAATATTGGGATCATGTCTTGGGATGTCCTCCTCACGCTCCTCAACCTCGTGAGGAAGAAGCGCCGCATCGGGCATGTGACCCCTAAAGGTCACCCTGGCTATGGAGGGCATTGGCCTGAGTTTAGGCCTCCCCAGGAGACTGACTCCCGCTGCTCATGCCCCGCACTCAATGCAATGGCCAACCATGGTGAGCGATTCTGAAAATCGATATTCGGTGCTTGATGGTGGCGGCTTGGCGTGACGATATTAAAACATAGGCATCATCTCGCGCACCGGCCGTGGGATCTCATTTGTCGAGCTTAACCACCATCTCCGGGCAACCTACAACTTCAGCCCTACCTTCTGCTCATTTGTGCCGCACTTTGCTGCTCGCATGCTTAAGAAAAGCTACAGCAACGATACATTCGATTTGGAAGAAATTGACCTGCACAATGGCATTGAACATGACGCATCTCTCATACGTGAGTGATTTAGTAATCTTGTCCAGTTTCTGTATGCCAACTAATTTTGTTTTCAGGCCTTGACGCTGCTTTTGAACCCGACCAATCGAAGAAGCACTTACCTTTCATCGAGGAAGTGCTTACGGCAGCTACCGGCAAGGACAAGAACGGCAATGATGTCATTACCCCCAAAGATCTCTGCAAGATGCTCAGCAAGCGTCGGGCAGTGGCGCGTGTAGTAAACAAGGAATTCTCCCTTAGCCTTTTCCACAAGATCTTTGGTAGCACAAAGTATGTAATTTCACTATCCGTTTTCAAGCACACCCTGAACGTTCTGTCAGTGCCTCGACCCTAGTGACGATCTTTGGAGGTCGTGTGGATGACCTGCGCAGTTTTCTTCTTGACGAACGGATCCCAGAGGGTTGGGAGTCGCGCGTCCGCCAACCTTACGGGATGACCCTGATGAACTTCAACAAGACTATACTAGGTGTTGAATTTGGTGTATGCGAGAACGATTGGATGGAAATAGCCCGGGAGGGTACAGAACGCCATGCCAGTGGCACTACTCCTGATTAAGATTACACCTCAGCCACTGGGATACTCGTGGCGTGGGGAATTCATATGAAGTCATCATCCTTCATTTTTGCTCTCACTTCATGCCTACCACACCTATGTACTAGTACTACTGACGATGATTACAATTTGTTCAAGTTCATTGACTTTGAATCTCTGGCCATTGCATACATGCTTTTGATGGTTTCACTCCTCTTTGATAACGGGCATTATACATTACATTGAAACTGATCGAAGATCAGCAGCACTGCACCCCCCCTTCTCATTTTGAGGCGTCGCTGCATCAAGCATGGTCGGGCCTGCCATACTTGTGACACACATGTTATCCCAAAACGGGAAAGCGTCCAAGACACCGAATAGCATACACGTCCTCAGCTACGAGTCACAACCCTGTTACTTAAGTGTTGAATCACTGGTGGACCACGCTTCCTACACTCCTCATGATTAGTTTCGGTAACGGTATCGTCAAATGAACCATGTAGTACCAGGTACTGCCGTTAATATCGACGCCACCGTTGTCTCTCAAGCACTCTGTCGACTCTACTCAAATTCTACTCCCAGCAACTTTGAAGATTCAAGAAGTTCGAGGACACAAATAACATTATAATTATTCGTATATCGACCTTGTACTTGATGTTATTCAGCCTAATTTCCACTACCAGCCACGAGCACGAAGGATACTGCATCTACTTATTTGACTAGAACACCTGAGGCGCCAGCCCATAATACGATTCAGATCAGGCAACGAACCATCAAGATCAACATGCTCATAGGGTGGCAGAGGAGGGCCAACAGTGGCTGCAGGTCCCAGGAGCAAGGAGATCAATTGAAGAAATCGAAGGCACTAGTATTGGTGTCGTCGAACGAATTCAAGCGACCATGCAAAAACAAATGCGGATCGCAGCCGCGCTACTCGGAGGGTCAGCTGCATCAACTTGAATATCACATTAATATCCGAAGAACCTTCCATCCTTGGAAGAGATGCGCGACGTACGCGTCAAGTTACGTCAAAATGTGAGTACTTGCTTAATGTCAGTGTCTCGATATTTATCGCACCATGCACCTCTTGGTAAGGAGGCCTGGCGTTTTCGTATCGTCTAGACCTGCGCAGGTACTTCGGGGTTCCTCAAAGAATTCTTCATACGTGTGTCGTATTGTTTAAGCCGTCCTCGCGGTTGGACAAGCAGGGAATCAATCTTCTTCGGCGGAACAGATATTACAAATTCTAGACGTTCACCTTGGATACCTCGGAGCAGCTTCTATTGAAGTCGGGCATAGAAGAAACAACTGTCTTCCCTCAATTTGTCCACGATCTGGCTAACCGTGCCTATGTACATAGACTGTTGTCGCTATTAATCCTTCATCCGCCAAGGTTTTCTTCCCGTCCCAAACCTCACCTTTGACCACATCTGAGCACCAGATATACTTATCCTTGATACAACAGAAGTAAAATGGGCTTATTTTCCGACGTGTCCCACCTTTTCTTTGATATTGGGATCATGTCTTGGGATGTCCTCCTCACACTCCTCAACCTCGTGAGGAGGAAGCGTCGCATCTGCCATGTCACCCCTGAGGGCCATCCAGGTTATGGAGGGCGCTGGCCTGAGTTTAGGCCTCCCCAGGAGACTGACTCCCGCTGCTCATGCCCCGCACTCAACGCAATGGCCAACCACGGTGAGTGATCCTGCAAATCGACATTTGGTGCTTGATGGTAGCGGTGTGGCGTGACGACATTGAAACGTAGGCATCATCTCGCGCACCGGCCGTGGGATCTCATTTGTCGAGCTTAACCACCATATCCGGGCAACCTACAACTTCAGTCCTACCTTCTGCTCATTTGCGCCGCACTTTGCTGCTCGCATGCTTAAGAAAAGCTACAGCAACGATACCTTCGATTTGGAAGAAATTGACCTGCACAATGGTATCGAACACGACGCATCTCTCTTACGTGAGTGATTCAGATCTTGTCCAGTTCTTGTATGCCAAATAATTTATTTTCAGGCCTTGACACCGCTTTTGAACCTAACCAATCGAAGAAACACATGCCTTTCATCGAAGAGCTACTTGCGGCAGCTACTGGCAAGGACAAGGACGGTAATGATGTCCTCACCACCAATGATTTCTCCAGGATGCTTGGCAAGCGTTGCGCAGTGGCACGTGCCGTAAACAAGGAGTTCTCCCTTAGCCTTTTCCACAAGATCTTTGGTAGCGCAAAGTATGTAATTTCATCATCCGTTTTCACACATTCTGAATGTTCTGTCAGTGCCTCGACCCTAGTGACGGTTTTTGGAGGTCGTGTGGATGACTTGCGCAGTTTTCTTCTTGACGAACGGATCCCAGAGGGTTGGGAGTCGCGTGTCCGCCAACCTTACGGAATGACGCTGATGAACTTCAACAAGACTACACTGGGAGTTGAATTTGGTGTGTGCGAGAAGGATTGGGCGGAAGCAGCACAGGAGGCTGCAGAAGGCCAGGGTTCCTAAAAAAAATGCACCCCGAAGCGGCTACCCACTTTACGACCACAACATCTAGTACGTACTATGCATGGTACTACTGACGGCGATTACAATTTGTTCGTTGCCTTTTGAAATTCTTGATTTGTACATTGAATACATGCTCTTGGTCGTTTCACTCTTCTTATAATAGAAATCATGCATTACATTGAAACTGATCACTCTCAGATATCACTGCACGGCCAGGCCTGCCGCATACACCTAAGTCCAAATTGGGAAGGCGTTCAAGAATGAAATTTGAAACACTGACACATGTAAGTACTAGTAGTACAGATCCACTGTATTGTGATACAGCATGCCGTGTATCTGTAGGGTGCACTGTGCGCTGCAGTGGTACTGTATGGATTTTGCCGTAGTTCGATCCAAGTCTTGAACGGGCCTACTACCAAAGTCCAGTATACTACTTCCTGGCTACTTATTCTTGTTATATAAGTAGTCCGATGGTTGGTCCGACACGACAGAAGGACCTTACTAACTGAGCGCCATGAAGTACACTCTGGCTCATTGCGAACGGAAATGACATTATCGACTGTCACTAAGTAGTACTGAGAGACAAGACGAATGTACCAGGTGAGCCTTGCGTCATTCAGGGGTATAGTAAGGCATGCACTTGCTACACGTTATTGTCCCTTTCATTATCCTGTAGACTTTTGAGACAGTGAAACACTGTATGAATACCTTCTCGAACAGCATCCACGTCTTCAGCCACGACCCTGCTAATGACCGGCGAACTCTTGTCAGGGTGCCACCGCAAGATCGAACTGCGTATCCGACTCTTCCTCGTGACCGTGTTTGCCCGGACAGAAAGGGACTCGAACAGAAACTCTGAAATCGCAGGTGGCGTGAAAGTATCGGTATTTTGGCAGGACGGCGCTGTCCGAAGCGGCCATGGGATATCTGCGAATGAAAGAGCCTTATCTGACGCTCCCAGCGCCTTCCATCGCTCTTCGTAGTCCCTCCATCTAGCTATTTTTTGTTTTTCTTCTTCTTGCAGCTTGAGCTCTGCGCGTATGCGTTCCGTACGGGCTTTATCGCGACGCCCGTGTGCATCGCGCAGAACTCCGCCGCCTCGAACCCACTCTATTTCGCTCTTCTCTATGAGCTCCTGCTCCTTGTGAAGTCGATTGGTAAGCTCTTCATTGTCGCGCGGCTCCTTGCTCGGCGTCTCGTCCCGTTTTCCAGGTGCACTGTCGTCAACGAATTCCTCTCTGATATCGGGAGAGGGGGGAATGAGTGTGGGGAATGGTCTTGATGTGCTCGAAGGAGGAAACGCGAAGTACCCTTTGGTGCTCATGTAGGCACTCCAAAATGAAGATGAATAACAAGCCTGACAAGCTCGAACGTGTCTAACAGATGATTACGTTATCCTAGAAACGGCCCTTTAGCCAATCAAACTCGATGATCTTCTATTTTCTTACTATGCAAGTAAGTGGTATGAATGATGACTACAGTGCTATTACACAGAAACCCACTACACCTCAGTAGAATGCGCTTTCTTCTCCTTCTGCGCCTCCCGAGCCAGTCTTCCTTTACCCCGTGCATGTTTCACGTCCTTCCAATCATCTCTGGCGGTATAGAGCACTAACATAGCCTCATCGTATGCCTCTTCAAACTTCGTGATCTCTTGGGCAAAAACAGCCGGTGCTTCGCTCTGATCAGCGTGACCTGAGAGAATTATTCTCACCCCAGTGAGCAGGGCGTCAAGAACTGCCACGTTATGTGCGACGAGGAGTGTGTGCGCAGACATCTCGTGGGTGTGTAACAGGTGGTGGAGGTAGGCTCGGGTGAAAGGAGGTAAGGATTGTCCCCGGCCCACACCGCCGTCTGAATGCGCTTGGTGTGACTGGACGTCAGCTTTGCTATGGTGGATAGGAGAAGTAGGAGCAACTGGAGAGCATGCAATGCAGGGGCAGACAGGAGATGTAGACGAAGGTGTAGCATTGTGACCAGCGAGGAAGGCGTCTGTCAAACCGGTGAAATCGTGAGTGTATTTTGTATCGTACAGGTTGTGACCAATGTCGCGTTTGCAATGACCGGAACTGCCACCGTGTCCGCTGGGGACCGGAAAAATAAAATCGAGAGCCACCCCAATATCAGCTGCTTTGATGACCCATCCTGCATCAAACACGTCGACTCCAATATCTCTGATCAAACGTAGCATTTCATGCGGGGATCGAACACCAGTGACAAGGCGTGGCTTTGCGATAGGTAGTGGTGCTAATGATGCACGAAGTAGCTCATCCAAGGCCGGGGTCAGGGAGAGGAAGGAAAGAGGTTCGATCGTGCTGGACGAGAGTGATGTGGGTGTACCAGCTGTGTCGGGTGTTGTCATTTCCGCCAGTGATTCCGAGTTCTGTAGAATCAAAGGGGTTTCCGGAATTTCAATCCCTCTGCACCTATCGTTGTGGGCCAAAAGGGGAGCTGGTTTCGTATGAAGAGCGGCTAAGTCAAAGGCATATCCAGCTACTCCTTCATCTAGACATCGCAATGGTTTAACGGAGTCCGCTTCCAACCCGTAAAGAGTCTCCGTGAGGCTGTGCGAAAAGGACTTCCTTGCGGAGGTCGAGGCACCGCCAGCCATGTGTACAAAGACATTCAAAGGATGGGTAGGAGTTGACACCGAAGGTGAGTCATCTATCGTGTTTCCAACAGGACGCAATAGATCTGCAAGCCAAGCCCCACTACGCTCGATGCTTTTAGTTATGCGTTTTTGTGAGTGCGGGGCTGCAGTAAACGGCGTGTCACTGAGAGCAAATGCAATATCAGGCTGCATTGTCAGAACGAACGATCGCCAGTCTGCGAGGGTGACCTACAACAAAGATGAAAAAGTTTTGATAGTGGAAACTCTACCTTTGTAAAAGGATATTCACCTTCCTTACGCCACGCATGCATAACGCTGAGACATGCGCATTTCCATTTGGAGGCATCTCTCGGGCATCTAAAGGATCACGAAGCGAAAGTGAAACTATATGTTTCGAGCTGTCGAATCCCAAAAAATTATGCAGTGGCTGTGGTCCCGCTTGATAAGTAGGCACTGGAGGTGTGTGCTCGAGGCTTGAAGTTGCGGTTCCGATATGTTATTCACCGTGGAGAGATTGCAGGGTGAAATGAGAACTCACAAGGACTCAAAAGGTACGTTGATCCAGCTAATTCCATTCGCTGAACGAACATGGTCTCTCGAGAAATGTGGAACTGCACCACGGGATGTCCCCACGAGGAAATTAGGTGTTGGGATGTCGATGATATGGTTGGATGGACTATCGGACGGTCGTGTCAAGCACAACCTACCGACGCGTGGTCCAAACTGTGTCCCCTCATCCAGAGTAAATGTGAGTTTTGGAAAGCATACGCCGACGCCTTGGGCTCCTGGTGTTTGAACCATGATAAAAGCGAACTGAGGTCAAGATAGATGAAGAGGAAAACAATGGATATCTTGTATCGGAGCAGCCTGAGCCTTGACTCGGAGACGCTCACCGTTCAAAGTTCAAACGTTTCATTAATTTGAATTTTGTATTGTAGCTTGATCCGAGAGAAGAGATAAACGTTAACCAGTGCTTATCGAAAATCGGAGTCCAATCGGAGCTTTTAAATAACGCTTTCCCACCCCGCGATGCCTGATTTAGAAACTCTTGTGGAAGGACCGGACGTTCTCGATGAGAACACAACATTCAGATGTCATTTGAGCTACTATTTGTATGTACATCATAAGTAGCTGACTGTAAAAGATCTACAGAGGCCATGCTGATAAATATGTATAAGAACCATGCAACTTCCGAGTCCACAAAAGAGAAATTTGATGTCGAGTATGCAAGCCCGAATGCAATGCCAAAGAATCGCTGGATGCTTTAGAATGAGACCACTATTGAGACCAGCTGCGTGATTGAAAATGGGAAAATGATAACGAATGCAGTGCTTGATGATAGTATGCTCGATGAAAATGCTCGATGCCTAATATAAAATCAGGATGCCAGATGCTAAGGCAAGCGTAAAAAGCTTGCTGACAGCTGCGAGGACATGTGTCAATCAAAGATAGCCGGAAAGTGAAACGGCGCACATGTCAAATGAAGAAGCGTTTCACTGCTGGGCATTGTCACGAAGGAGACACAGTTTGGGTTGCCAGCTCCCCTGTGACACGCGGTGCAGTGAGACAAGGACGACGTGCTCAACGCGAATGCCATTGGGACCAATGCGCCATGACGAATTCGGGGGGTCACATGGGGTATTCGCATGCTTCTGTTTAGGGATGAATAAGCTTTAAATGTGGTGCTTTTAGTTAACTAACCCTAAAGAAAGAAGCAACGGCGCCCGCAACTTTCATCGCCAGCCTTTCGCGTGTGTTGAATGACCTTTCTTTCTTCCAGTCCTTTGAAGCTATTTGCTTTGTGAATGATGGGTATCCAGGCCACTAACAGGTAACATCAATAAACGTAAGTAACACTTATCAAATCACACTTCAACAAGACAGATCCTTTACCTCAATGCGAATGGATACTGTATCCCCGGACATGTCTGCAATACGTTCATCCCGTGCCTGGAGGTGGAATGATTGCCGATCCAACAACTGTTGCAACGGGATGCCAGCTCCCTCTGCGACGTTGAAAGCGACCGTCGTTCCACTTCCCGGGCTGAAGTAAAATGCGTGCGTTGTCCCCACATTGTACAGTTGCTGGGGGACAGTGGGACCTCGTCCAGGAACTCTTGATTTGATCGATGATGTATCAGTCCCTCCCGACGGCACCGAGTGGACATTTGATGCGCCGGCGTGGCGCGGTACGACCCTCCGTCCATGCTGCACGATTCTGTCAATTATATCCCGCAAAAATTCAAAACAATGCGCACCAATGAATCATCCGCTGATGAATCGAATGGCCTCTTTTGCAGTGGAGATATTGGGGATTGCCGGGGGCCCGTTCCTGTCATAAAATCCGGGCCGGGAAAGCCTGGGCTCTGAGACGCCCTGTTTAGGGGCGTTGTTGGGGAGGGGCTGTACATAGTCACACCGCTTGTATCCAGTGTGCTCAGCGTCGAGGGACCACTAATACGCGACGTTGCCCTCGGGCTGTGCCGTGGAGTGCTTCGTAAACCTGATGGCATCCAGTTTGTGGGCTCTGTAGATGGGGCGGGCAGCGTTGCGGTCGATTGAAAGTGGGGCTCTGTGAGGGGCGGTTCTACAGGACTGTTCCTGTGGTATGAGTAGATATGCTCCTGTGCTGCAGGACCCGGCATAACGGTATCGAATACAGTCTGACCCAGATAGGACCCGAGGTCACCCATCCCATAGAACGGCAGCTGATTCAAGTAATGCTGTGAAAACTAGAAATCATGCTCAGCGATGGCACTGATCGCTTCCAGCTGCTAACTCACTGGTAGGTTCGGTAGTACGCCACCTGCGGGGGGGTTGTACATCTGGGGCACATTCGGCTGGGGAGCATACATGTGGGGCGCGTTCAGCTGGGAGGAATACATGTAGTTGTCCTCGAAATCCATGGTGGATGAAGTCTGAGTGATGAGAGTTAGATGTTGGAACTAATCGACACCCAGGAGTAGACTCACTTGAACTTCGTTGAGATTTAATAGGTGGCCGACTGGGTCCTCCATGTCATAACTCTCCGGTTCTTGTTGTCGTGATAACTGCTGTATTTGTGACGACCATTGGTCGTGTGAGTATGTGTCAGTTGGGAATGACATGAAGTCATGAAGATCGTCATGCACGCCACTGTGATGGGTAGAGGTGCCCTCCTGATCACCATGATGGGGAGGGTAACTGTACATTGGCGTGGCGCTCTGAGTGAAATCTTAGAAATAGAGCCTATGTTCGCTCACAATGAGTTAGGCGAGGTCATGGAGGTGGAAGAAATAAAGTCTGAAGAAAAGATGGGAAAGCCGAGTTGTCCGTGATTTAAAGGATGCCATCGGCCACCGCCACAGAGAGGGCATTGACGGAACCACGAGACGTTACGAAATAGATGAACTTCGAGGAATCGCTAAACTGCTCAATAGAATAGATTGCAGTGTAACCCACACATCCTAAAACAGCACATGTAGATTCGGAGGGTGAAGCGGCGGAAGCAGAGTCTGATACGGAATGGTACCCAAAAGGTACATGGCGTCCGGGGGCTGTGGCCTTTCAGTGCAAGCCAAAATATGGGTTCTCTCTGGAAAAATGCGATGAAAAGGTTGAACTACGGGGTAGACCCCAGGATCGGCAAGCCGGATGGAATATTTGACGGGAAATTCGTTGGCAGGCTGATGCCACTCGGTCCAACAATAGCAAGAAGTGATAATATCCGATGGTCAAAGCAAAGGAGCGTATCGCTTCACTGTCACTGCCTTCAGGCTGAGCGGGAAACGTATTCACATGAGCAACGGTCTCGGACGTGTCAATCCGTGGAGGGTGACTGAGCAGGACAATGCTAGTGTAACAGACGTATGTAGAGGAGATCCTCAGTCGAGAGGTAAGCCACAGTGGCCTAGAGAGCTGGGGCAGGATCGACAGAAGTACAAAGACTTCCTATTAGAGATTCAGAATACACATAGGACAAGTAACAAGATGATAACGCACATGTAAACAGGAGACCCTGAGAACCATAGGATGTCATTATGCTTGAAAATGGTTTTCAGACGGTCAAAGCACAAGGTTCAGTCTTCAGTGCATCCTCGGACCGCGGGTGCTGTGTTTACAGTGGATTCTAGTTCTTGCATTGAAAAGGATTTACAAGCGGGCTCTGGCACTTCATAATGTCAAATATTGACCCTAGTCGAGGACAATGAAAAACGTGATATATGGTAGTCGTCAAGAATAATGTCCTCGATGATAGTTCGGGGTCTCTGTGTGTAGGTCCCAACAAATATTATGTAAGTCCGAAATTCAACACAGCGTGAAGCCGTACAACTCCGCAGTCAAACGACATGGCACGCTGCCACACGCCGCCACACGGCGGTATCTATTATTCTCCCAACCTTTGATAGCATCCTCTCCATTGTCATTGAACGACCCTTTTGTCCGAGGAGCAATTTTAGTAGGTTTACCATTAATTCTTCCACAAGTGACTTCGCCTGCGTAACTGTGCTTTTTTCTCCGCTAAACTTCGAATCATATTTCTCATCCTGTGGACCTTGGTTTCAGATTAGCCGGAGGTCAATGAACGAACGCTCATCTGCACCTCCGCAGTACCACCTAACTCGGTTTAATCCGACCGTTGCTGCATCCTTGTAATTTGTAACATGACGAGGAGCCTGTCATAAGTAGATCGTGTCTAGGTACATGTGAATTTTCATGTTTGCAGCCCTCGAACAAAACCAGCGCCCCCTCCTTTTTCAAAATTCACAGCAAGAAATTTTCTTCGACTCTGATTCGAACTCAGGTCAGGACTGCGGAATGTTTAAGCTGCGGAATGGGACTGTCATTTTCCGTGGCGCCTGACTCCAATGTCATGAGGTTCACAGCCCGGCTTCTCTGGACGATGATTGACCATACTGTCAGGATGTACAACCTGTCAGAGACAAAGCCCAGGCCCGCAGAAGATATCGTTTACGGCACGATTTGCGGCGGCGTTGTGTTACCAGTAGCGCCACCGAACACACTTTGCAAATGCGATAGGGTTGTCACGGTGTGCCTGTTAGTGAGCACCTCTCGTTTGCGATGCACATACCGCTTTTTCTGTCTGTCTCGAAGAGACAGAGAGCCGGCGATCTATGTTGCAGGTAACACACCAAACTACTGGAAAGCATGCAACGCAAGCGGTGTGGTAGTAAAGAGGGGTAAATAATGATTTGCCCCCGAATTTGCAATTAGCGAACAGCCAGAACTTTGTGTTTTCAGATCATGCGAGTAATGCAACAAATAGACATTTTAACATCCTTTCGAAAAAATCGTCTGATCATTTCTTCATCATATCTGACGGTAAAAACATAGTGTGAACTAAGTAACCGGTATGGAAAACATGAACATGAATATCAGTGTCGGCGTTTGCAAATCTATCATGGGGTCATGGGGGCATCATTCGATCTAGTATCCTCTTAATCCGACAGAGGGCGACTCTTCAATTCCCTCAAGTGAGGAATGACATCTTTCAGCGCCGCCTCCTCCCAGTGACCTTCATGTCCCTGCATCTTGACGATGACACCGGGGCTATCACTCTCCTCTTTCACTATGTAAGGCATAGGCCCCTTTCCAAGTGTTGTGGTGGTGGTATAGGTGAGGGTTGGCGACGACGTGTTTGGATGTGAATAGGGAGGCTTCATGCTCGATACCGAGCTAACAGACCGAGATGTGCTCTTTGGTCTGCGTAAGCGAGCCATTTTAGAGAACCTGCTAGGCGGTCTATCCCCGCTGTCAGCCGAGGAAACAGCTGAGGGAGGACCTGACCAGCTTTCGGGAGGAGTCCACGTCCATTTGGCACGGGATGACTCAGGGGTTGAGGCGGCGGACCACTGGGTATGGTGTGTAGCGACTGTCGTTTGTGTGTTGATCCGGGATAATATATGTTGGTCGAGCGTTTGGGCGTCTGTGGGTAGCGGTCCTGGTATTCCAAGCTCAATGTCTGGTGAGGACGGAGGTAGAATGGGGGACACCGTTCTGCTGCAAGGTGAAGGAATGGATGGACTCCGGGCACGGGCCACAGCTTTTCCAGAAGTCAAAACATTGGGTACGGGGAAAAATCCCACCGGCTCGGTCGCCGGGGCTCGCCGAACTGGCGTCTGATGTGTCGTGTGGGAGCGCATAGATGCCGCTCGCGTAAGAGGGCGCTCGTGAGTCACGATTGTGGGTGGAGGAGAGGCAGGAGCTGTTTGTGTTCGTTGGTGTGTTTTGTTCTTCTTCGGAATGATCTTAAGTGGCGGAGGTATCTTGGGACGACCAAAAAATCCCTCATCTACATGGAACAAGGAAGCTGGCGCTACAGCAACGTAAGGCTGATTGCGTCTGGAGGCAACAGAAGCTCGCCCGCTCTCGCCCGAGGCGCTGGGTGCTTTCTGAGGCCTCCCCGGATGAGTAGATGAAGGGGTACGACTGTGCTTTGACTGTGAAGTAGATGGGCCACTTGTTATTGATCGGGACGATGGGACAGGTGGTTCTCTGTTGGAAGGGTTACTGCCATTTGCAACGGACGGCGGGGCTGTGTCAGGAGCTGTAGACGAGATAACTTCGATCGTCTCGACTAGACCCATCTGACCAGCCCGGTCACTGGACGGACCCGAACAGCTCGCTGCCAAGGAAGATGAATGAGCAAATTGTGCATCCCCAGAGGTGATATCCATAATTGGCTGCTCAATATCAACAGCGGGATCTGATACCGTAGATACGTTTCCTCGAGAAAAGGTGGGGTTCGTATTGCGCGATAGCGAGCGCACGAAAAACATGTCCGCCTCAGGAGACGCCGCCCTGTCAAACTGGGACGACACTGTTCCACTGCCCGCAACTTGGGGCTGCGTGAGGACAACAGGGGCTGTGAGCCCAAGTTCCCGAATATTGTCTTTGATCGACTTGAAATGAGGGACGTTGGGAACAGCTCTAGCTTTGCTTTGATGAGGATTCTGCTTCGAATCCTGCGGAGCGGATTTTTTCCGCGTTAGATTGTGCGCAGGTGGTTCCCTAGCAGTATCAGATAGTGCTAAATGTGCAAATCGTTAATGGCTCTACCTCACGTGAGATATACACGTTCATATTCCTCACCTTCTGGTACACTGGGTCGTCGAGTCACGGATTTAGCAGACCCCTGGGATGAGCGCGAAAAGAGGCTCGAGAAGAATCCCTTTTGCGCTTTTGCCATCGGGTCTGTTTTGAAATCAGCGCCCACCTTCGTGCGCGACGGTGCAGACAAATCCATCGGAAATGGCGGTTGCTGGGAGACTGAATCTGATCCGCACAGTTAGTGTCTCGACGACGACCTGTATTGCCTTGACATGAATTTTCGGTGAGAAATTCTCTCACCTGGTTAGTTGCTCTCGGACGTAGCGTGCACTGACCGGCGACGTCCTACGCAATGCTCATGGAGTCTAAAACAGAGAAAGGACCGAATATGCTGCGGTGATAGATAACTGGCCTACAAGATCAGAGTCCGCTGCTCATTTCCTGTTCATATGAATTGACTATATATACCCCTTTGCCCCCCTACCTCCCTGGGTAGGGTGACCCAAGGCTCGGAGGTCAGGAAGCACAAAATTAACTGATGTGGCAGCCTTGGATACTGATTCCACGTTACCTCACAGCATCTCGAGGCCTTAACTACAAGGAAGTCTTGATCTTTGATTTGAGCATGTAGCTTGGTTTTTATACCCCGCGACTCCGTATCTCGCGAGATCATGGAAAAACAGAAGAGGGTGGACGGGGTCTACGGGAGTACCACGGTGAAATCACAAAAAACACTGTCCCATGGTGCCAGCGCATAACGTGGATAGTCCACGCGACATCGGAAGTTGGCCAGTAAGGGAAGGTACCAGGATGGTTAAAGTACTTGGAGGTAAATGGTATACGTCATACATTACGCCCAGCGTTAGAATCCAGGGGTTAAAACTTCAGTGGATGACCTTCTGTGGGGCGTAACGATGTGTAATAGGATAAAGTGCTGGAAGGTGCTGCAATCAATTTGCAATTACGGAATCAAAAATACGATTGTTCGCCTAAACTCGCTATCGGCCTTGGCAGGAGACAGCAGCCCAGATTGCCTTAGATGTGCGGGGCCGGCCGGGAATTCAATTTTCTAGGCCGCTGTGACGAGACGCTGGAGAACAGTCACTGGCAAAGGCCTTACGCACTCGATTTGAGTGGGAACATAGTCGGAACTTGAACCGGCCGCCACCCGCCAGCCAAGTCAGCGAAGCGGTATTTTTACCGCGCTGCACTGCAGAGGAGTGCAAAAGACGGTTGTGATTAGCGATCAAAGGCTAGGAATAGATAGCACACGCAATGACGTAGGGATCACTGTTCGCGCAATCCACAAAACGAACAAGATGTATTATGAATTGATATACTCATACGAGTTAGCGATAACAAAGTGTCCATCAAGAAATGAATGCCAAAAGTCATTGTAATCAAAGGTCCGAGTAGACGATTCATGAACGAAAGGCTATGATGCCTGACAATGCCCCCTAAAGGAAAGATGAGAAAGTTTAATACAAAGAAGCGTGAAATTTGTATTTACATGCCTATATTCGGCGCAAGAGAGCCGAACCAGAGATAAACATCACCATCAAGGTGGCGATAAGGGCAACGAATGTGGGGTGGGCGATGTGCTGTGACACAGCGCTAGAACAACCTGCACAAGACCAGCCTTTTCGAAGGAGTCAGCGGAGATACGCGGTCGTGTAGACGTGACTTACCGCTACCGATTGGAGTATAAGGTTGTGGCGTATAAAGCGCGAATTGCAGCGCGCTATTGGGAGTCAGCACGCCTGGTTCACGTGCAGCGTCAGGGCCTCCGTCTCCCCAGATCTTGAGGGTGTATTTTGCTTGAGCAAGAGGTAGGTTGGGATGGGAGGTTTGGTATGTGTACGGATCCCAAACAACGCTGCTGGCAGTTCCGGGAATAATGCCATCGGTTGGGCCGACGGGATATGTATTTCCATTCTCGCAGATAGCGGAAACGGTCAGGTGAGTGGGTGTGGCTAAGATGTAGCTGAAATTCCATCCGAACGTGATGTACTGGTTCTGGGCAACCTTAAAATAAGAGGTTGACTGCTGGGGCGGCTGGGTGATGGTAAGAATCCCAGCAGGCGCTGATTGGGGGATGGTAAGAAACGAGGAGGAAGTGCCCGACGCAGTCTGCGATTGTGAGCCTGACACGGTGCCAGACTGAGTTTGAGACAGTGATTGGGATTGTGATTGGCTCTGGGACTGAGTTTGTCCTCCTTGTTGTTGACGCGCTTCTACGTTGTGCAGCTCGTCTTCCATCTTAAGTAGCTTCAAATAACTGTCAAAAAATCAAAGAACGACAAAAAAAAAAGACAAGACGTGGTGCCCACAGGCAAGAAGGTATGCGGCGAACAAGCGGCGAAATCAAAGGAAACAACGTTGTTCGGGTCTGGTTGACCGCTGGCAGTGGTATAGAGTGGCACTCTCTTTTCTTTATCGCTTGGCTTCCTTTTATGGATATCCAGCACTTAAAGCGCCCATTACTCAGATCATTGAACCTGGCTTCAAGTCGAACACTCCACAACAGGGCTCGAGCTACCAAGCGTCTACCTTCTCAATATTTTGAAGCCAACATTACTTTAGCCTACTTGGTACATTTGACTAGAACGCGGCTTTACAGCGAAGTCAGGTCCAGGCTGTGCAGGGGGCCAACACTGCTTGTGACGTATATTCGGTGGTGTCTGTTAACTGCGAGCTCTTACCAAGACCACCACTCAGAATCGCAGTTCTGCGACTACTTGCTAGTCTCAGTGATATACGACTCCTTTCAATCCACCCGCAATGTTTGACGAAAGTCAACCACCCTCTCCAAACCAGCCCTTTGTGGCGTTGGCGCCTCTGGAACCCGAATGGCAGCCGATATTTCAGGCTTCGAATCAGATCGTTTTGTATAATCCAACATCGCACGCTTTATCTATAACCAAGTCCTCTGGCCCACCGGATTTTGCAGGCTCCTCGCCGTGTCCCTACTGTCATCGTCTCCTTCCGAGTGGATTCGACAGAGATGGCCTTCCCGAAAATATTCGGTCCGACTCCGGATCCCATTCCCGAGCGTCAAACTACTTTCAGCTCCTCGCTGCAGCAAATCAGACGTCCTCAAGACCGTCCAGTCCCCCCCCTCTTACAAGTGGCGGTGGGAGCCGACATGGGGCATTCCCTCCAGAATCCATGGCAGAAGGCTACTTCAAGACTTTTTTTCAAGAAGAGTATCGATTAGGAATGGGGGCAAATGGAAGTGTATATCTCTGCCAGGTCTGCTAAATTGCCCTCTTACATGGATATCTCTCAAGTGCTCTCGGCAGCATGTTCTGGATGGGCAACCGCTTGGTTAGTATTTTGCGGTTTATCATGCTGAACGATTACTGAACGATTTCTTAGGTCATTTTGCTGTCAAGAAAATTGCAGTAGGAGAGTCCCACTCTTACCTGCTCAACATACTGCGCGAGGTTCGCAACTGTGGTGATATGCTGACATGTCATGCACGCTGACATTAATGTGTCGCCAAGATTCGCCTTCTCGAGTCTCTCCACCATCGCAATATAGTCACGTATCATCATGCATGGCTAGAATCTTATCAGTTCTCTGCTTTTGGGCCCAAAGTGCCTACGCTACAGTAAGTACAGAAGACAGACTGATGATGATTAATTTATCAATCGCATAGCGTTCTCATGCAATGGGCCGAGGGCGGAAGGTGACGTTTTCGAGTGTAAATATGACCCTCACTACTGAAAATGCGCTATCAGTTTAGATGATTTTATTGCCCTTCGCCTGGGACGTTCAATCGGACTTCCGCATATGCAATCCTCTCCTTCCTCACCTGCTCCTGATGACCCGACCCCATCTGCACGCATCCGTGCATTTCGTGCCATGAAGCGCGCCCCACCAGAGGAACGCGAGCGGTTACGCCGAGAGATGGAGGAAAGAACCAACAGCCGCGGTAACCGTCCCTCATGGAAAGCAGTTCATCTTCTCAGTGCAGAAGAGACGCGAAGTTTGTTCGCGGATGTATCGCATGGATTGGCCTTCTTGGTGCGTTGTGATCGGGGCGCTTAGGTTGCCAGACCGATGATGCTTGGTATTTTCAGCATGATAAATCCATTCTTCATTTGGACCTCAAACCTGGCAACGTGCTACTGACTTGGGACGAAGGACGACTCATGTGAGTGGGTTTTGTCCGGTCGAGATCTCGATGTGAAGATTACTATGTGCAGCCCCCGAGCGATGTTATCGGATTTTGGGACCTCCCGAGATATGGTACAATCGAGCAGTGCTCGGTCAGGTAATACAGGAACGTGAGTATTCAATTATCTTTGCTCCTTTACTTCAGTGTGCTCATCTCAATAGTCTTGAATACGCATCGCCGGAGTCGCTTCCAGCCCCTCTTACTGGGGTTCTCCGACAGATCGACTCCAAGGCTGACATGTGGTCTCTTGGTATGATCCTGCACAAGATGCTTTTCTTCAAGTTACCCTATCGCTACGCAACGGAAGGGGAAGCCAGTGCATACGACGATGCCGACAAGATGGACAAGCTAGAGCAGGAAATTTTGGGCTACTCTGGGTGTGGTTTACTCATGACCGCTTGTGATCTAGTTATTGATTAGCTCTCAGATTCCGATCAACATCTGCGCTTGCGACAACTTTCGAGTCCCGCCGTCTTCCGCGTTCGTTCCTGATATTGCTCGAAGGTCTCTTGAGCATTAATCCGTCTGTGAGACCCTCGTCCGAGCGCATCGTGAGCGCCATGCGAGAAGGACGAGTAAGTCACAATATTATATTTAACTTTGTTGTTCATAGTTCACGCTTTCAGTTTGATCCTGTGGCGTCGTCCACGCCTCCATCTAGCAAATCTCTCATCCCGCTGTGGCGAAAGTCTACCGAGTCCGAGGCCGGTCACACACTTCCGGATGCTTCTCTGACTCCTACAGAACACAAGCAAGAAGACGCTGCCGAGGCGCTGGATAGGAAAAGTCCCATGCTTCGTTTATCTTCTCCAGTCCCCGACCATCAGCTTGACGCGGTAGGCTGGATTACGCAGTGTTTTACTTTCCTACGCTGGCGATCACCGAGGGTCGCGGGGGTGAGCACGCTTAAGGCATGTATCCTTGCTGCGAAGGTACGTGCCCAGAAAAGCACCTTTGAGCGTTGTGTTGATAGGGCTATTACAGGCATTGTCAGCTGTTTCTATGTGGCCCTCCCGCCCAGTCCTCCTCGCCGTCATAGGACTTCTTGCCATTCCAGATACGTTGTTTGATGGTCTCGAAGTTTCTTTGGTACTTGGGGTGCTGCATGTGGTGATAATTCGGTGGTGCTGAATTGGAATGTGATGACTGTTTCGAGTTTACATTCCTAATGGTATGGCCAAATAATAATTTCAGGAGCTGCCGTTCGGTGAAAGCGTCAAAAGCTACTAGTGTAGGTTATCGTGCCCCAATACAGCGGTAATTCGTGGCACAAGCATCTCGATGTCTAATGTACCGGAACAATTAATGCATCACCAGACCATCGAGCAGTCGACGAGCACCGAACTGTAGATCTATGTCTCATACACTAAGTCATTTAACAGGCATCAGCGATTCTGAAACATCACATCAAACTACGTATCGGACTTGGCTATCGGTGGTGGTTTAAATTCTACCACCTTGTAGCCTTCTCCCCTTTTAATTACGTTACCTGGACCGACTGCGAGGCGTGTAACCAACGCTTGTTGAACACCGGATAATACTAAAAGAAAACGGAAAAAGAGTAATTGAATATCCTGTTCTCCCCGTCCGAGCATAAATTTCGTTACCTGAATCTTCTTCCTTGGCACGCGGCCACTGGAAAGCCAACGTAAGACCCATCCTCGGACTGAGCACTACGCGTTCCTCGCGGCCTATTCTGAGTTTGATGGCCATCAGGATATGCTTGCCAGGCAGTCCCCTTAGCTCCGTGAGCATCGCGGGATCAAACCGGGAGTCGAACATATCAGCGTATTGTTCGACTGGTCGTGCGGAGAAAGTGACTGGGTAAGCCGAAAGGTTTGTTTCCAAAACTAGACGATCAGTCTCCTCTGGGTATTCCTTTCGCGCTTGTTCCATGGCTTCTTGTATTCGATCAGCGTATAGCGAGTAGTTGAACGTTTCCGTGAGCATGATGAGAGGAAGGCTATGGCGAATGTCTTTGGACCCGTCCATACCTTTGAAAAGTCGGTCAGTAAATGGTGTATGTATGTAGCTGAGACACAGACCGACAGCTGAATAGAGAAGAGTGCACGCATTGCGATGTCTGCTTTTCCAGTCTATTCTCTGGCAATCCCGGGAACAATATCTTGCGATGAAACATCCAGTGCAACGATAGTGTGGACGTTCGTTGTTGTCACACGGACACTAGGGACATCATAAGCTTATAACGAGCTGAATGAAACCAATACCAAAACATACCTCTAAATTCGCACATTTTTGTTCATAAAAAGGCGAGGCGCTGGTTCTCCTGCAGATACCGAGTATGTGTAGAGCCAGTTGCTGGACCAATGCCCAGGCCTGTTGCACCTCTTCGTGTTTCCTTGCGTGAACTCCAAGACGAGCCGCGGCATTGTCAGTTCGATTCATTGCGTTCTGGAAGTGGCGCAATACTTTATGGTACATCAGAAATCGTGGGATGAGCTTGAGGACACGACAGGCCGTCTGCGGGCAACGGAACCCAGCCTGCAGCACCAACTGGATAAGTCCGGCGTCGAGGACTTGACATACAGCTGGGATGCACGCCTCTGATCGACAAAGCACCGCATCTGCATAACCGAAGGCATGCTCCAGTAGTCCAGTGGATCTCACTGCAGCCGAGTGTTCCATCGAAGGACTGACCCTCATACCGGAAATATTTGGCCATGCTTGACGTAAAGCCGTTACAACTTCCGAAGGTGCACCGTGCAAGATGAGCCCTTCTTGGCACATAGCGTCCACGAGGCTGACCACAGTAATAAAGTGGATTGAAACTGATAAAGAATCGACAAGTGCGAGCATCGCAGTCACGCGCACGTATGGGGGACTCATCATGAGCTTGTTTGACATGTGCATATCGCCGATTGCTCTCCCCAGCCACCGAACATATCGCAGTGCCGATACTACGAATCGTTCATATCCACCCGCTGCGTCAAGTAGGTTGTGCAGAGTGGATGGTGCCGGAGGCGAACCCACGCACGTTATGATGACCCCGGCCATGACCCCCCTGATGTGTCCGAGTCCTGCGGCTTCATCTTCGGAGATTTCCACGCCGAGGGACAAATCCCCCTCCTTCAATTTCCCAATATACAACCACAGCTTCGCAATGAAGTGTTGAAGAGTTATGTTTGTCCGGATCAGGTTCTTTCCTTCGACGGAATAGACTGCCATGTGGTGGAGGGCACGCGTTGTCATCGAGACTACGTCCACAACGTAGACGTCGAAACCTTCGGGGGGATGGCTCCTAGGCGAGGCGGGTAGAAAATGACGATACATGAACTGTATCCATGGAAAGAGAACGTCCCAACGTCGCACCACTGCATCCGTAATCATCACCTCCGCGACACGTTTGTCAACTGTAGTCACGCCAGAGCACGCTTTTAGGATGCTTATCAACGACAATTTGGCAAGCATGACGACTTTCTGGATATCGTTAGTCGGCAGAAGTTGATCGGGGATCACAGCTGGGTCCAGATGAGTATAGAAGATGGGGAGCAAAGTCATGTTCGCTTCTACGTCGGCGGATGTCTCGACCCATTGGTGGAGTTTGCGTACGTCATGCACCACGCCTTTAAGAGCTCCGTCGATTAAACGCTGAAAGAAAGCCAGTTGACACCGTCTGGGATGGCGCAGGAGGTACATAATTGTGACTCACCTGGACACGCTTGGGCAGAGATTTCAGAGCAATTCTCTCTTGTGCAGTCAAAGACATATCGGTAGCTCTTCGTACTGACAATGATCATTGGGCAGTATAGAACGAAAAAGTGTCCGTGAACGTTCTCTCGGCGACGCTGCATATCGTGCGGGCACAGGTGAAGTCCTTGCTTGAAAATGCTGTGATGGGCGCTTACCTTCTTGATCCAAGGCGAGCGCCTTACTAGTAATACAAGTCGCACCAGAAGTTTCGATCAACCAAAAGACACAATTATTAATTGTAGTTTTCCCACATTATCCCATTCCTGGAGGTTTCGACCAGCTCTAGCTATATATAGAAAATTGCTGGAATAGCATGAAGATAAAATATCCAGTAGCTTTTTGTGTGCTACACCCGGCGTGTATAGTTATACATATGCCAAACCGTCAACGCTGCCAATACCTACCGATCCTGGCTGCAATAAACGAAATAACCAGCATAGCCTAGTAGCATACTCCGCCTTCTGTTGACTACTGACTTCTTAGGGATGCGGGTGACAGGTTGTACTAACGCTACGTCAACTGTGGAAGACATAATATTGGAGCATTTTTGAGCAAGGAGTAGGCCTTGTCTATTCTGCGTGCGCGACGCGCGTGTCAAGCTATTTGTCCATCCTAGATTGAAAGAAGATCAGAAAAAGTACGAGTAGAAGTGGTGGTTACGTCCAATTTGTGCGCTTTACGCGGATACGAAAGAAATATCCATCCATGCACTGAGGTTCTAGGGTGCTTGTGACGTCCTGTAAGAAAAGACAGGACAACAACCAATTCGTCGAAAAGAATCAAAAGAGTCAGGCATGGATAACAGCTGCAAGAAGTCTGAAGCAAGCAAGCAGAAATAGTTTCTACCTGCTCCAAAAGACTGGAGTGTCCCCCAAGGTTTGCGATTTATTGAATGGGCTGCACGGTGATTGTCCATAGTCCGTCTCCCGCATTGCAACCGCGCTTCTCCACCTTCGAAGATCAGGCGTTAATGTTGATGGGCATGCAGCCAATGCTGATGAGTCCGTTCTACAGGCGTAATGTTAAGAAATATAAAATAAATGAAGGGCGAACATATTTATCGTTGCTGCATACGGTTCGCACCTTCCACCAGTGCCAATAACGGTGATTGTGCTGCAGCTGAGACCGACTTCACCGAGGACGTCGGCGATGATGGGGAGTATCCCATACGCCGTCGCATTGTATTAATCAGATACATCCATCTAGTATCAAGATAAATATGAGTTACAGGGCCACTGCGCTATGAAACTCACTGGTTGAGTGCTCTCGCAACATTGGATGTTCTTGGTGTCGCACTGGCTGGAAGAGTCGCGCAGAACGAGGGGTGGGCGATGGTGAGAACAGCCAGGCGCCATAGGCAGGATACGAACAAATATTTTGTAAAACTGAAGGATAAGTTTTGGATATGGATGCTTCTGGGAGTTGGGTGATCAAGGAGCTGATGGCGACTTAAATTGGGCAGAGCTGTTTTATGCATACTTTTGATATCATGGCGAATCGCTATCGACGGAGAGCAGGCCATCTTCCATCGATTTTCAATAATGATACATGTTGCGACTGGAATCCTGGCGAATGGCTCCTATTGGTTAGGCCATCTCATGGGTATCGACTTTAAACTTTCCTCTGGTACAGACGTTGTTGCAAATTTCAATCTTCCGAGTTCTCCGGCCCATAGTGCTGAAAGAAATCCGCAGTGTTTCGACATTCGGCTTTACCCTTCCACGTCTGGAAGGCCCAGACTAGACGAGTACTAGTGCCGCGGCCACATCTCGATGACTGCGAATATCTTCAAGGTTTGAATCGAGGTCGTGACGTCCAGTGATATCCATACGCGTCTTCAAGCTCCCGCTCAAGGCACACATTCAAATATCGTCTGCAGCAAGTCAGAAGGAGCTGCATATATAAGTACTCGGAGCAGCCAAGCATGCAGTGGTTCGTAATTATTACCTACAAATTTAAACGTCGACGACCCTGGGTAGGCGCCCTCGGCGAGAGGCACTGTGACCGAATCCCCGATCAGAGGTAATCTCCCTTAGGCAGACCAGTAGAAGGAAGACAGTCGTTCCTTCTATAAAGGATTAAAGATGGTGCATACTTTTAGACTTTAATTGTGTGACATGTCGAACCTGCTTTATCTGCAGCTGCATAAAAGACACAATTGCGAAACCACAAAGTGAAGTACCATTTAGAAATTAGAAAATATAGCCTGCGTGCCCGACGCCGGTAGTCCATCTTCATCTTCAGCTGATTGCGAGCACTTACATTGACCGACAAGTTCGGCTTTCCCTAAACTTGCCTAAAATCAACGAAGTGCTCTGCCACCGTTTAGACATTGTCATGACTTGTAAAGAACATACATATTATAGCAGGGTGGTTTGTCGGGGGTGGCGGGGTCCTGGCGCCGTGGCCGGAGTCCTGGTCGTAGGTAGTCCTCCGCGTCCTGCTAGATAGATAGAGCTGCTACCTCCTGCCTTAGAGGTTTGGCCTGGGTTTCCCCTAGCAGTCCGTCCCTGGTCCAACATTTAAACCTGTTAATGACACAGTTCATGAATGCATCATGAGATGTGGAAGAGCACTACGGGCCCAGGCTAATTTTTTGCAGGCAGATCTGGGTCATGTTGCGTCACTACTGGCAGTGAGTTAGAGCTGCCCCATCCACACATACACGGAGCCGACTATATGTACGTACCGTTGTAGAAAAAAATTGCGCTGTTGTGTAAACATATAAGTTTCATCTTCGGGAACGCGACCACAGATCAACAACAGATTGCATAATATAATTGATATGTAATTAATTATATATTCCCGCCACCTTTAAGTAGGTAGTGGGTTTGTAGCCCATTATTTTTCAAGTTTATTCGAGAGATTTGCACGATCGGTATGCTGTGCTATGGCGGTGTCGCTGACTGCTCCAGGCGTTCCCTTAAGAGGTGTATAGCCAATGTAATCAACATAATAGAATTGATACGTAATTAAGGCAGGGCACCTTAACCGCAACTGCCGTTGAATATGGCTCTGAACTCCGAAACAATGCTCAAGGCGCTACGACTGTCGCCTAACCTTGACGATGAGGCATTTAACCTGATACTCACAAGCTGAACTTTTTGTCTGAGGCGATTCAAAGGCAATTAGCAAGGACATCTCCGCCTCAATAACAGCTGCAATTGATGATGAAACATACCGACCATCTCTCAAGGATGTGCACGATCATATCCTTCAATACCAAGGGGGTCCAGCCCTTCTTGTAAGCAACATATTCCATCGTTTTTCGCCGCTCAATTCGCTCTCCCGGCAGGAGCCCCTCGACGTCCTGCCTGATCTTCTTTGGTGCCGCCGTAAAGAGGCCGTCGACCTCATTGACCTAATTGCCGAAAACAGTAGTCCAAAGGAGGTGTTGATTGTCATCCAGGAAATTCTGGAACAGCTAACCCAGCTGGCCTGTGAAGATGAAGCTGACGAGGAGAATGTTCCTGGATATGTGCAGTGTCTCATCAACGTCATCGCGATATCTACAAAATGTGAGTGTATACAGGTGTCGACCGATCACTAAAATCTCAGGCCTTGCCAGCTGTGCCCAGATTGACTCTTGGAAAGAAGACCGCGCTGAGCGTAGTCTCACCCTTGGTTTCTGGTTTTATTTCAACGGTTTCATCGCTAGGAAGCCACTTCACGCGGGATAGTGGTCGTACCTTGCTTACAGATGTTTCTCGCATGTCAGAGGTGTTCTACACATGGATCTCCAGAACAGGCAGCGAAGCAAATGCTGCAGAAGCAAAGGTTTGTTTACAGCAATTGCAGCAGACAGCTTTACAAACTCGTTGACTTGCAGACAAGTATCAGAGTACTTTTGGACACGACTGTTTCGGCGTGCGTATCATGTATCAGGGCATCATTATGCGCTAGAGCTTTCGAGACACGCTATCCTCGCCTTACATTATCTTCCACAATCGAACCAGACTGGCAACAAGGGGAGCAGGCTATTTTGAGCGTACTGGTAAGCCGGAGAAGCCGTAAAAATGTGATATATTCTGAATCGTGCTAGACTACCTTTCGTGCAATGGCCTTGTCACCGCGGGATATCTTGGATGTTCCGACAAAGAGTTCCTTAATTATACTTGCTCACGAACCACAAACCTATCACCTACCGAAGGATCTATTCTCCAAGTTGCATTCAGTGCTCGTGACTTCAATTCAGATGAACTTTGCCCTTGACGAGTCTCTCTTCCTTGTCTTTCGCTGCATTACGCAAGATCAAACGCAGCCCGACCTCCCACTCGAACTTGCGATGTCGCTATGCGTCGTCCTTCCCACTTTGGCAAGCGCCCATCTTGATCCATTCATCAGGCATTTCAGTCTTCGGCTGATTGCACTCATTCTTGCGCGACTGCCATCTATGCTGCGGCAGCAGATCCTGATGACCTTGGCATCTGACGAGGAGCTTCCTCAAATGCGGGCAGCCGCAATCGGTCTCCTTAAGGAATTTGTCCTAGAAGCACTGCAGAGCCCTACATCGTCAGGAGAGCAAAACATCTTTGCGTCACCACTGCTCATAAGATCCTTCGGACCGATTCTGTTCAGGACGATGCCGGCTGATTATTTATCCACCATTCGCGTGGCTGATGACATTGAGGAGTCCTTGGAACCCTCTCGAATAGTGGAGGTGATGTCATTTTACTATGTGATACTGCAACGGGACAAGGACAACAAAGTACGTTGTTATTTTCCACCAATACAAATAAATTTGACGACGACCCAGACCGGTATACGAGATCTGGATAATATTGCGAGCGTAGAATCATCGCTACTGCGGCCTTTGCGCACCTTCCTGGAAAAGTGGTTGAACACTGAATGTAAGGATGCCACGTTAATTCGTCGTGGAGTCTGACAAACCTTCTACAGCTAAGCCTATTCTTCCATTGATTGCCCTGCAGGTTAGCCTCGAAAGAATAGACTATGCTGTCCAGACCATCCGAAGCCGGTGATTATGCCAGACGCTAGGTTACGGAGCGCTCGAAGTGCGGAACGATGAGCGAAGCCTTATTCGAATAGGTGTTCTTACTTGCGAAAATTTCCAGAGAACACTATTAATTACCGGTTATTTTTCATTTTTGAGCAATTCACAGTGGAGCGCATTTGCTAGAACCCAATTCCGAGTCCAACTAGTCTCCCCTAGGCAGACTAAATAGAATGAGGATAATTGTTTCCTCCTATATTATAGTCCAACATGGAACTCCCTTTACGCATGCTACTAATCGGATAGCTTATGCTCTATGTCTGGTGTCGTGGGTCTCGACAGATATACTCTAGGTGGTATTATTTAGTGTTCTGTCACGCTCGCTAATTCCTAGGAGATGCGTGTATATACCCTTATATACTCCACGTGTCCTGTTCCTAACACCCCAATGACCGCGACAGTCGGGGGCAATGATATCGATGGCTATATCTGCGTTCGTACACAGTGATCGTCTCGAGGGTAAGGGAGATGGGAGCTCGGGTGATGTCACTTGTATGAGTCGGAATATATGTAGCATATCATCAAGAAAATTTTATCAAACACCTCATTTCTTAAGCTTCTCCCCACTCTAAGTACTTATCTACGAGGGGGCCGGAATTTCCAACACGGCTAGATAAGTAATGTGGGACTGGCGCTGCAGTGTAGGCGCCTGATATCTCAGGAGACATCTATTTGCATTGACCTTTTCGTGAGTGTACCTAGAATATCCCCGTCTAGAACGCGCGAATAGGCAGGGGTAGGCTAAATTTCACATGGGCGCAGAGCAACCTTCACTCGCTGTCAACAAATCAGGATACATGGATATTAAGATAGTACACATTCCGTAGTATGACACAGCACATTACTATCTCACCAGAGCGGTACTTAATAGCGCGTATTCTGGTAGTTAAGCTCTAGCATTCGGAGGGGGAAGTAAAGTATGCCTGCTAGAGGGAAGGCAACCTCGAAACCGACATCGCCTGAGGTGATGCCAATGGGGCCCTGGAACCATACCTGGTTCATGCAGGGGATAATTAGAGCGAAAGAGAGTACGCAAGCTGTGATGGCAGCTGCTCCCCAGGGCAGACGCCCTGGGACGTTCCATATGGCGTGGTCATAGGTGCTGAAGTCACCGTTCCGGAAGTAATGGTGCTCGACAAGGAGAATGGCACCATATGCACTCGCCCAGTAACCAATGAGTGAAAGGAAGTCGGTCAATGTCGCATAGAATCTATGAGCGCCCACGATTGATAAAGGCAATGCACTGCCGACACCCGGGGGAAGATCTGAGATCAGCCGGTGATAGGGGCAAAAATGGAGGACGCACATTACCGTGCCAACAATCGAGAATACATATCTTGGCACTTTTGACATGGCTGGGATCATCACCTGGAAGTTGAAGCAAATAGAGTAGAGTGTGCACGCAATGTTGCCGGTGACGCTCAGGCTGAGAAGAACGGTGAGGAACTTCCCGAAGTTGCCGACCGGGCTGAGCATTGCCTCCAAGAGGCCGCCGACGTTGCCTTCCGTTCCGTAACCCTCGTTCCAGCTAGGAACATTAGGCGCAGCAAGGACTGCCGCAGCTCCAAGGCACTCGAGAAGGATCTGAAACAGATAGGAGACGCTAAAGAGAGACCGAGAGAATGGAGAAGCTGACGTACGATAGGGACGATGTATCCGAAGTATGCGTACCAAAAGATTGTGGACCTGACAAAACTTTAAGTAAGCAGAACGCCACATGCTATGGAAGTAAACGTACCGGGAAACGGTGGGCGAGTAGTACATCGTGAAATCGGAGGCCATTGCCGAATAGGTAATGACGAATCCGGCAATAACAGATGCAAAGCTGAGAATAGTAACAGCAGTTGCAGGTTCGGCTGGTTGAACATTGTACAAGTTCTTGCCACCCACGCCCAGTGCAACCAAGAATGCGATAAGCACTGGAAACCACGAAACACGTTCGTACCTGAAAATGGTGAGCTAAAATGGTGATGAATGGAGAATATCATTTACCAGTTGAGTACTTTGTAGCCCATGAAGGAGATCTGGAGAATTGTGACATTGTGAAGACGAAAGATTGTAGTCACGTAAGAGACGCACGAGAAGAGCGATAATAAAAATGATGACGATGCCAACACTAATCCAGGGTCAGATAAGATGACCAGTTTATGGGATATCTTACGCACTTCCAGCTCATATTACTAGACACGCTAGCGAGTGCTTGTCCGCCGAGTATGCCATTGAGGATATTGAAGCCACACAGGCCGATCAGATTGAGGATAGCGGGTATAATGATGCCAAAGTAGCTTGAAAGATAATTAGACGGGTAACGACGCAATAAGAAGACATACCCAAAACTATATCTGGATTGGATCATCTGACGCATGCCAGTTCTGGGACCCCAAGTATTTCTGTAGAAGGCATGTCAAGTAATGAACTGTGTATGCCCATTCAGGAAAGTACACGAACAAATATGCGGGCAACGCGCATGCCAGGAGATTAAAGAATAAGATAACAAGACAGGAATCACGAAGGCCAAGTCCGAAAATGACTGGACCGAGTGTTCCGGTGGAGAAGCTGGCTTATGTGTAAGAACGCGCTGACAGTCGAAGTACTCTGAAGACGCACGAGAGGATGTTGAAGTTCATAGGAGAACCAAACGAAAAAGATCTTATAGTATTGGGTGTCCGTCCGCTCCTCTTCGGGAACTGGAACAGTGCCTATGAAAGAAGATTTGATAATGAGTATTATGGTTAATGGTGAGGAAAGCGGACCTCGTTCCTCCACGCCCCAACTGAGAAGGGACTTTGCTAACGGGTAGGAGACCCATCCGTGTTTCTCTCCCGGGATGATCACGGAGGGATCATCTCTGGACGCGGAATCCTTCTCAATGTCGATGTCTGAGTTCTTCTCGTGCAGATGACCGTCAGACATCGTTAATAGACTGAACTAGAGTAATCGACGGGGAACGACGACAAGGACTCACAAGGATCGCCCTAACTATATATAAGGACTATGAGGCACTACTGGGAATCTTATTTATTCACGATATCCACGGCCGGACGCACTCGAAGGACCGGAGGAACAGATCTTGATTCATGTGGTACCCAGGTACTCAGTTACAAACTCAGTAATTACTAAAATCACTGACAGCGTCACTGACAAGAAGGACAAAATTATTTAAATAATTGTTAGGTCCTAACCAAATTAAGGATTTAATTTCCACGATCATCTCCTGCGAAATTTAGTTAACACTTGCGCTCGACACTCTCAACGGCAACAACGACCTCGAGCTCACTGTCACCAACGATGGCAGTAGCCGTACAGCGTCCTCTACGTGGCTCACGCGTGTCTTCTTTCTATCCCGTCAAAACTCTCCCTTCTCTGTCCTCTCTCGATAGCGCGTTCCAGCTCCAGGAATACATTTCGCTTCTTATTCGTCTTGACGTTCATGATGTCGATTCAATAGTGTCTCTTCCAGGGAAAGCTGTTTCCAAGGATGCCGAAGAAAAGTCTTCTGATCTCTCTGATGCTGAGCGTAAACCAGATGATTCTGAACGAAAGAACGACATAACAGTCGACCGAGGTTGCTGGATTTACGAACAACTCCGGTACTTCTCATATTCTCTCGCCCGGCTGGCTGTCAACGCACTAACTTTGTTCGTCTATCAGACGTCTCGCACAAGACCTCTCCCATCCCCTCATTACAATGTTGCAGCAGGAATGTACTCGTATCACCTGTCCCGAGATGAAGGCGGGAGAATGGTTATATCTATGTGTTGCACACGGTAATGATGGCGCCATGGAGGTTCGTTTAATTATCATTTTCGTAAAAATATCATTGCGCTAACCGAACTTTTTCAATCCTGTGACGTCTTCAGCAATGCTGTGCTATCGATTACATCCTTCATACGTTGGATAGCGCAACCGCACTATTAAACTCTCCTAGAGCTTTCCCATCTCGGTAAGCAACGATCACGTCTCATGAGATATTTGTTGATGTCCTCCTTTACTCCATTTTTGTTTATCGAACTCAACTCAATTACGCGTGCTTTGCATCCCATCAGTCTTTCGATACCTCCGACCTCATATCGACACTTCTCTTCGCTTGCTCGTCGCCTTGGCAGGATATTTGCGCACGCATACTTCCACCATCGAGAAGCCTTCGAACAAGCCGAGGTCGAATCATCGCTCTACGCCCGCTTCTTAAAACTTACCGGTCAATTCGATCTCGTCCCTACCGAATTCCTTGTCATCCCCCCAAGCGCTGCCCTGCCAGGCAGAAAGGGACACGATGAGGATGTCGAACCTCCGCGTCTTCTTGCGGCGGCCGTCAATCCGCAGCGGGAGCGGGAGGATCAAAACATTCATACAACAGAACAGGCACAACCCCCGAACGTTCGCGGGAAGAGTCCTCCGGGATTGTCCAGTGACAGCCCAATTAGCACCGATAGCCCACGCCGCCTGGGGCGCAATCGTACAGATACCATGGTGTTCAGTGAGGCGTATAATGTTGCGGAGGAACTTGCAAAAGGCGGCGACCATGATGTCAATGAAAGCAGTGTTTTACTGGATGCTACACCATCCGCTGAGCCTGAGAGCTATTCTCAGGCCTCATGGTCCAGCCAGCCGAGTGGGTTCCCTCCTGACGAATTTGGGTTTGATGTCGAAGAGGTACCCGTCGATGAAGTGTCCGCCGTCACTGGATCAAACTCTCCGCCACTGGAAGATCTGTCCTTGACGTCGCTTGGGGACTCCAGCTCAGCTGCTCCCTCTGTTTCAGCTGGACCAGAACACGAGATGGAAACAATTCCAACCGCTGAACCTATTCATGAAGAGCCAGCTATTGAACCTATAGCTCCTGTTGAAGAGCCCGTTACGCTAGCTGAACCTTCAAGTCCAGTACTAGTAGCCTCGGCAGCTACCGAAGATATTGAGACCAGCGTTACAGAGACCGATATTGTGGAAGAGCCTGAAGCTCCCGAAAAATCTGATTCACTGGAGCCAGTTCCAGAATCTGAAAAACTGCACGAGGCACCCCTCGAGCCTTCTTCTGAGGCAGACACAGTAGCCCCTGACCTCGCGGAACCTCCCGCACCAACTCCTGAGTCTGCCCCCGCTGACGAGTCCCTCACGGAACCCGAGGTCAGCCTTAATCTGAGCGAGCCCTCGCCGTCAGAGCCAATACCCCCGGAGAGCGAGAGCGATATTACGGATGAGGTGCATGGTGTGGATGAGGAGGTGGAGGAGGTGGAGGAGGATCTATGAGATTCGATTGTCTGCTCAGCTGTGTTTTCGTAGCATTGTTCTGTTTTTTTTTTTCCATCTCATGCTGCATTGATGTCGCTCTGCGTCTCGGCGAGAATTTCGAGCGAGGTACGAACCTCTAAGTTTGTAGACTCGTCTGATTGATCAACTGACTAGCTGTCTGAATCATGACACTTTCATTCATGTTATTGTCCATGCTACATATTTTATGAGTGCTATTCTTGAACGACTCGTCGATTCGCAACAAAAATACGATCAGTTTGAATCAAATTTGAAATTTGAATGCCGGCGTCGGGCAAGTTTCAAATAATTTCGACATCGTATAAAAATATAAACCTCGAATGCGGTACGATCGGCACTGAAATCAATAGACGCACGAGATTTAAATTCAGAATCACCCTCGAGTTTAGCGTTTACCTCGAGGGCGCCGGCCGCAAAGGCCAGGCGCTAGGCATCCAAAATGTTCGAGCTATCTTTAAGCTTTTATTGTATTATATTCTTCCAGAAAGAAAGTAACTTCTTACTTGAGGTCATGCGAATGATTGACAGGTGTTTAAATAAATCACATGGTCGAACTTCCTTCTTCCTTCGCGTTTTCGAGCTCGGGCTTGACACTTTGAAGCTTGAGGTGTTTACCTGCAGCAACTTGAAAGTTTCGAATGTATGTATGTAGGTCCCGCTGTATTTGCCGCCGGAGGACGCGTGCAATTGTTATTTACTGAAACACTCCAGCATAGTCCGCAGCATGCGGGTTCCGGAGCATAATGATATAGCAACGGCGGAAGGATCTAGTTTAATGGTGATAGCAGACGATACTCCGTGCTGCGGAGCAGTCTTCCGATTAAAATGCCGGTTGCGCAGTGGACAGCTGTGGAGCATGGCTACCACTGACACAGACTGACATATGATACAAACTGTGGACCACTAAATTTGACGTTTGATATCCGGACCCGAACCCGGGTGAAACGGTCGTTTGGGTCGACTTCTGTCCGGACGCTGACCATACAAAGGCAATTTGGAGGTCCCAGATAGGGACAGTTTAGCTTGGCGACAACAGTCCGTGTTTGGAACCGCTGCGGAGTGGTGACTGCCGGTTGCGCAGTGGATGATTGCGGGGCATGGCTACCACTGACATACAAAGTTTCGGAAGTCCTAGATAAGGATAGGGGACGTGGGTGAAGCTGTCTATATCCTCGTGGCGGAAGCAAAGATGTATCAATCTTTGAATGTGATACTCGGCAACAGAGTGTCTCATCTGCTGGATGCGCGGTAGATGACACTGCACTTGTGTCGTCCCCACTAGTCCCTATCGCCGAGCTTGCAAGATGACCACACACCTCAAGCTTGCCCGGAAATTACAGCGATTTACGCACTGTTGGATCACTGAAAGCACACAGTAAACGGTCTGATGAGAGTATAAGAAACATTTAAAATACTACTGGTACATATGGCCGACAAGTGATAACAATACTTTAATCATGCGCCGAAACCGTATAGCGTACGCCCCGACCGCTTCAGCGCATAGACGACATCAAGAGCAGTAACTGTTTTACTATAGTCCCGATGAGTAAATAAGCACTGCAGTAAGCTGACGGGTCGGGCTTACCGCTTAGCATGTTCGGTGTAAGTGACGGAGTCGCGGATAACATTCTCCAAGAAAATTTTGAGAACTCCGCGGGTCTCTTCGTAGATGAGACCTGAAATACGCTTCACACCGCCACGACGGGCAAGACGGCGGATAGCCTGAAAATACATGAGCGGGCGAGTGATTATAGAACACCATGCCACGCACTGGCTTGGTAATACCCTGGATGTTGTCGCGGAGAATCTTGCGGTGGCGTTTGGCACCACCCTTGCCGAGGCCCTATTGAACACTGAGTCGCACGAGCTATAAGATAATGCCAACCAATATTCCGCACCTTGCCACCCTTTCCGCGTCCAGACATGTTGTATGAGTTAAGTTATCTGTGTCAACAAATTATACAAAGACGGATGATACCAAGTACTGGTGTCGATGATGGTGGTATTGAAAGAAGGAAGCTGCACAACAGTCAACGTTTCAACGTCAATGATACGCGTGTGGTCGTGTTTGTTACCATCACGTGACCGGCCTGCTTTCCAAGCACGTCACGCCAGTCGCTGACTTATACCGTACCAGCTGGCAGCAACGGGCGCATATATAAACCCCTCACCCAAAGAACAACTTCTACAATCTCTCACTTCGTATACGCTACCTAGTCTCATAATGGTTGCTGAAATCTCCACCAAGGCAGAGCTCGAGAAGTATACTTCCGATCCCAACAAGCTCACCGTCAGCATTTGTGTCCTCAGTTCCTTTCGGGCTCAAGTGACATGTCTGCTTGCAGGTTATCGATTTTACCGCTTCTTGGTGCCCACCTTGCCAGGCCATCAAGCCGATTTTGAGAGTCTCGCCAGAGAGAACGGCAATGTGAACTTCGTCAAGGTTGACCTCTCTGAGGGCACGAACGACCTCGCCACCATCTACTCCGTCACTGCTATGTCAGTTTCTCTCCTCTTTGAATAGTTCTTCTGTCCTCATATTTCACAGGCCGACCTTCGTCTTCCTGGTGGGCGGCAATGAAGTGCACAGGATCCGCGGCGCTAATCCGAGGTTCGTTTACGATTTTTCATTCTTCTGAATGTACTATAATCTAATATTCCACAGTGGCCTTAAATCGAGTGTCGCTCAGTTCGCCAAACCCGCATCTTCTGGTGCGTTCTTGGGGCAAGGCCGCACCCTTTCGGGCAAGGACAATTCATCATCGTCCGTTCCTACTTACAATGTGTCAAACAGCTTAACTGCCACATGGTCGAACATGAACCCCCAAGCGAAAGTTTTAATTGTACTTTGCGCGGCATACGCGTTTTTCTGGCTGATATAGAAAAGAACAAATTTGTAGATCAGGTTGCGCGCTGGTGTAATACATGCAGATAAGATGCATACAATCTTCATCTTTTAAAGTATTGCGTTTGCGAATTCGCGTTGGATAGCGGATATCTTGGTGCACAACCGAAAAGTTAGAACAGTACTATATGGATGGTGGGATTATGGCTCTGAAGAATATACAGTCCTGTCCCTTGATCGTAGCCTGAGGCTTCGTTTCTTGGTATCGACCACAAGAGCTCATTTTGTGAATCATTTATACATTGCGACTGCTCTCAAAGCTAACAGCTAGACTGTATTGTTGATAATTACCTTGACCTAACAAGAATATGGCGTCATTCATCAGTATGAATCTTTGAGCCTTGCACCGGAGACTTAGCTAAGAGTCGAGCTCCATGTGGCAATCCTCATCAACTAGTCAAGTGTAAACGTTGTTCAATGTTGATGTAGCTGTTGATTGATCTGATGTTAGGTTGCCAGCCCAATCACCGAACCCCATTGTTTCGGATGACCCCACACTTGCCCCATGCCAAGATTCTCCATTTGCTTCGTGTATCGCACAAACTTTAACGCCGGCGAAGCGCATCAGTCCGCGAGACCTTTGTGGACATCGCCTTCATCGATAACAAGTTATCCACCAATCTCACTGGCCACGGGTGGAGCCAAAGATTGTGAGTCCACTGCCCTGATATAGCGTTAGCATATGATCACATCGCTGGCTATAAACCAGCCTCGGGAAGAATATGTTCCATTGAACCCAGAACTCGATACTGATCTTCGAATGTCCTAGAAAGTGTTCAGGGGGTGCCAGTGGGCGAACGCTACCTGCCGTTTGAAATCTTCCGGAAGCATAAGTAACTGACGTTTCGCGTCTTGTGATCATAGCTTCTATTTGGAAAGATAGTCTTTCCATATTGCGAATTGTCTTGCGGAACCTCGATTCGGAATGGAATCATCCGAAATCCCGAACTTCTGGGAAGTGGATTCAAATCAAACATGCTGAGGCTTACCGTCTCTTCCCGTTTGCTTTTGATTAGATCGCTCCATGATACGTGTCCCTATTTCTGAAAATGTTGCAGTCAGTTCTGTATGATGAAATAGGATGTTATACATGTCAATGTTAGCACGCTGTCGAACATTTTGCCGAAATTTCTACAACGGCAAACCGACATAACCAGCCCCAGCCTCCTTCAACAGGCGTTCGATCAGTTTCATGCCCTCCAGGACGTACTCCTCTTCAAGCCGTCTTCCTACAATCTGCACACCAACCGGGAGACCTTCCATGGCCCTTGCATTATACATCCGATAGTAAGTCCGTTCGATGGCGTTTCGTGGGCGGAAAGTACGCGGGAGAGTATCAGCTGTCGCATCTACGTGTGTGATCGGCATCACCCCTGCACTGTAATCAAGCTGTTCGAAAGTTCAAAGTGAATATCCGATCGGAACCGTTAAAGGGACGTGGAACATACCAGGTTGAATAGGAACGTATACCCACATGCTTTCCATCCGTGCCTCATCCCCCCGTGAGGAAGAGCAGGAAGACTGTTTGGAACTGTGAGGATGAAATCGACTCCCTCATCACCCTGACGGCCTTCGACTTCCGCTTCTCGCCAGACTTTGAACCAGCGAGAACGGTAGTCCTCCCTTCGCGCAATCAGAGCGTAAAATTCTGGTATGGTCTTCTCATAATGAGTGTCAATCAGACCGGCATAGATGGGATCGCGACGTATGTAGCGGTAATACCAAGCATAGAGCTTCATGACGAAGTAGGGAAGACGAAGGCCCCGGAACGCTGATATCATTCCAGCATCGTTAGACTCAAATGCGTGATGGTTTTTGGAAGCAGTCTTGCCGCCATCAGCAAGGAGGAGCTGTGACGCGATTTGAAGGCCTTCGTATGGGCTTGGGCACTTCCTAAAGTAGGGCATCTAGGAAGCTCTTTCAGGACATGAGAGTTTTGACCTACAGAGTAACAATTTGGTGACCGTTCTTCTCGAGTATCGTCGTAACCGACTTCAATGCTCGCGCGCAGGCAGGCGAGGGTGCGACAACTCCTGCGTACAAACATGAATATGATGAGGTTGAGTTCCACAGAGATACTCCACGAACCGTCATCCCATAGGACACCCCACCTGATGGGGCGACCTTCTGGAAGTTTAACGTCTCTCCATGGAATTCTAAGAACCTATATTAATCATTAGCTTAACAGCATTGTTATTCAGATATTTCAATTACAGAGTAGTCGTAGTTCCAAGGCTTCATCTGGAACACAGCTCGCCAGAATGTCTCTAGATCTTCCAACGTTCTGGTCATAGGGCTGTGTGTTGCGGGAACGCCCTCCTGGCCAGGCATACTGGACGCGCTGCCTTGCTTCAAGAATCTATACATACTCGCTTTGATTGAGTAGACACCAGAGAAGTGCGCAGGAGCCCGAACGCTCCCTGCGACATCTGTGCCTATCCCGAGTCTGGCTGCACCGAGCGCAAGGAGTACAGCTTCGCCTGCTGAGGAGCCTCCTGAAGTATAGCCCTTCTTGTGGGGATTGTCGGTAGAACCAAAAACATCGTTTGTCGACTCCAATGAAAGCATAGTCATGGGAACGTTTGTCTTGACATATGGGACGGCACCTGCATCCCGTAACAACCTTACCAGCGCACCGTCGGCGGCCATAGGTTTGCCTACAAGAGCCGAGTATCCCATGGAAGAATCCCAACCCTTCACGCTTACCAGGTCCTTGAGCGAGACTGGGACGCCTGCCAGCGGACCTGATCGGTTCGCAGTGCTGGCCCAGTTCTCTGCAGATGCAATCATGACCTCAGTCAGACAGTTCGTCTGAGCATGCGCTTGAAGAGCTTTCTTAGAGTAGGCCACAAGGATGTCGGATGGAGATAGGGAGGATGTTTGCACAGCAGCCACCAGAGACGAAACTGAGCGAGACAGAATCTCTTTGTCCTGTGATGTTAGAGGCTCATGGTAGATGGGTTTGAGGGATGCGATCCGTTCTGCTCGCTCCTGTTGCTTATCGCGACTAGTGTGATTAAAGTCTTCATCAGAATCGAACTAGTAAGGAAACAGACGATGATGATAGAAGGCTCACCAGGCGCGACGGTGTGACAAGTAAGAGAACAACATTGTGTTGAACCCGGGCGAACCTTTGAGAGACCCCCGTCAGTTGAAGGGGGAAGTCAGAAGTGTGAGAGGACTGCCGCGAGGTCGCTCACGAGCCTCTGCTTCTTATCATGCTCGCATGATCATGAAATAGGCATGAGATTGAATTACGTGTTATGCAATTCTATCAACTGGTGCTGCCAATATTAATGGCACTGGCAAATAGGAAGCAACTTCACGTCGGGCCTCGTTGTAGATATAGACGTGGATAGGCTGGCCTGGCGGTATCACTTCTCGAGTTCAACCAATTCCAGAAGCGAAACCCTTCGTCAGACCTTGCAGGAAGAAGTCGAGTTCGGGTGCGCACTGCGAGAGGCTGCCGCTTACGAGTCACGAGTCGTTTCTTATCATACGAGCGCTTGAATTACGAAGCTACATGTTTTATAATACGTAATACCTGCAGCGCATCGAGGGCAAGCACTAGCACAAGTCTCAACTACAAGCAGCTTCAATGTACTTACTTTGTAAATCCTCTTGCTGTTATGTTGTTTATTGATATTTTGCAAGTCTAAACTTAGTGTGCGCTATCGTGCAGTCGTGTAAGTAACGAGGGAGAGAGGGGAAACCGCATGCTTGATGGATTGTAAGCAGATAGTTTTTCAGGCGGACGCCCCCGAAGGGGAGACCCGGCCCTGATGGCGGCCCCAACCTGTGCAAGAGTGAGCCGAGGTAAGCTTCAAGGGAGGGCGGGCAGCCTCAAACACAGCAGGTTCGCGGGGTGCCAACCACCCGAGCCCCAGTAGCAGTCAATAGCTAAGTACCTCGAGTATGAGTATGGTAGAAAATTTCAATATAGTAGGCTGAGATGACCTGAGAGGCAGCAAAGGAAAGGTAGGTGGGGAAAGAAAAACTGAAGGCGACAGGCAAGAGCTTACTGGAGTGTAGCTTGGCCAAGCGTTGTGCGGTGGGCAGAGAAGAGAAGCTGCGTGCTGCACTGTGGCGGCCAGCCACTACCCAAAGTCCTCATTCCAACCCTACGCTCGCACCTCGTTTCGTAGTAGAATTTCCACCTATGCAAATCGATTGCCTTTGCCAACTGCACGATGTTACATGAGAGAAAATGTCTCTGCCTGTCATATCACTAATTGGTTGGGTTTTATAGTCCGACTTCGCTATACTGCAGAGTTCGTTTGACCTCGAGAATCGAACTAGGAATTCGGTTCGATCTAGTGCACTTCATGGAAACACTAGATCATGGTAGGGATATCTGCCTGTGTACATTATCGTGAGCCAATGCGATGGATTTGATGCGAAGCAAGCCTTACACGACGAACGGGTGTTGCTTCAGATACAGTCTGGATACATTGTATCGTGAGGTCAACATGATGAGGTTTAATACAAAGCAGGCCTTACATTGATGGTGTAACTCGTCTAGGAACATTGTATCATTAGCGCAATATGATGAAGCTTGATACAAGCCTTACCATAGTAGGTAGATTATGAGACCCAACCGGCGTGTTCTGGGTACATGGTATCGTGAGGTCAATACTATGATGAGGTTTGAGACAAAGCAAGCCCCACCACATGACTCCTTGCAATCAGAGTCTACTCGGCACATCAATGTATCGTCAGTCAACAAGACGATATTTCGGGCAAAGTAAACCTCACTTGAGGATCAGCCTTGGTTTTGGCAGCAAAGGCTATCAAGGCTAGCAAAACATAGAGGAAAGTGGAAGAGAGGCGAGCGAACATGATGGCGAGTCGATCTTAACTAATGAGAACTGTTGGCGCTGTCTGATCTGCGACGATGCTTCTTATACCGCATACGTGTCGCTCCCAAATGAGAGTAAAATAAATTAGCTATTAGTGTTCTCCCATGGGGGCCTGATGTAAAACATGAAATTAAATATATGCCAGCGTCGACAAATCTACGACGAAAGATTTCAAAGGTACCTACCAAATAGAGGAGTTGGTTGTTAATGGATAAATGGACAGGCCGGTGAATATCGACAGCGAATTTCAGTTTTGATACCGTACCGCGTCGTGAGGCACACAGCAGATGATATATCGAGATCGCTGCGGGACTATGTAGTTGGATCACTATGGCTTGTGTTGGACCTTGTTAGACGAGATTCTTCGGATCACGCCATCTGCGAGTTGCAGCAAACACGACTTGCCCGTACGCTGTAACGTTGGAAATAAACGATCGTAACGTCCGCATTGTGAATATGAACCAGATCTCACACAACAGAGTTGACACGTGGTCCATACTCGATCACGGTGACGCCTTGCAGCGATTTCATGATGGCGTTGCTATCGTGGACCCAGGGGAGGACATTGACCCGAGATAGCGCACCAATAACACGGGTATGAAATCAACAAGAATGGGTGTTATGTATGCCTTGGTCGTCCAAACCCCAAGCTGTTTCTCCAGCAACATCTTCGCGAAGATTCATTCCGAGCTCCCATCGTCATTGTCCCTGCCAAAGTCGATCATCAGTTCGTGTTCTTGCACGTACTAGTGTTTCGCTTTGACTCTTGAGTCGCGGAGGACCACATGGTGGGAAGGAAACGTTTGCAGGTAGTGACATGGCGGGGCGAGCAAATATGATGGCGAGTCGATCCGGTTCGATCTTATTTTTTGCAACTAATTAGAGCTGTTGGCGCTGTCTAATCCGTGGTCACTAGTGACGCTCGATTCGGGTTCTTATACCGCACATGAGATCCAAAATGGGTGAAAAAGAAATTAGGTTGTAGTCTTGGAGATCTGATATGAATCCCGACATATGATAGCATCGACAGATCGACGAGGAAAGATTTCAAACGTACCCGCTAAACAAAGGAGTTGGTTGTCGATGGAGATACACATAGTGAAATGGACGAGGAATTTCAGCTTTGGCATCCGCGGTCATAAGGCGCTTCTACAACAAATGATATTGTGATGCGGAACTAGCTGGACCGCTATATACTTGTGCGGGATGCGATTCTTCGGCTCACCTGTCTACGACAGCAGCAAACAGGACTTGCCCGTACGCTGTAACGTTCTGCTTGCAACGCCAGCATTGGGAAGATAAAGATCTCATACAACAGAGTTGAAATGTGTGTCATACTCGATGTGACGCCTTGCACATTGTTATTGAACACTTAGTTCAGACATAGTGAGACATGGACCTAAGATAGTGCCCCGATGACACGCACCACATGTGACATCCACAAGGATGAGCACACTCACTTTCGTGAGGAGTTTAGCGCATCTTGAACAGTGTTATGTATGCCTTGAGTCCACACCCCAAGCTCTTTCTCCAGGGACACCAATGTTTCGCGAATATTTCTTCCGAGCTCGCCGCCGTCATTATCCCTGCCAAAGCCGATCATCAATTCGTGTCTTGCATGTACCAGTGTTTTGTATGCAGCTTTGAGTCGCGGAGGACCAGATGGTGGGAAGGAAACGTTTGCGAGTGGCGACGTGGCAGGGCGGGGTTCGTCGACGGCCAAAAGCTTCCCGAGTTCCGCTAGGGCAACAGCGCGCACAGGGTGACCGTCACGAAGAAGGGCGGATAGCCCCATATAATGCTTAGCTGAAGTACGGATTGCCTCGTCAAGCAGGTCTTGTGACATGTCTGCTGAAAACGAAAAAAGGAGGAGTGATTTATGGAGCCCTATCAAGGCCAACAACGGGTGACATGATGGTGTCAAGCCAGCAGACACAAGTATCGGAATAATGTTAGTCGTCAGTTGCAGGGCCTTGTTAAGATCTGTAAGGACGTATACCAAAATCACATGGATATGTTTCGTGTTCAACATGGAGGACTGACCCGTATCTTGAATTGAAGTTGCCTTCTCCAATGCTTCCTGTCCAACGCGTAGCGAGTCCATGATAGATTCGGTTGCAGTCACAACTGCACGGCATTTCACGCATTGATATATCTCGCTTTCTGAGAGAAATGCACCATATGAACGATCAATATTTCAAGTAGAGCTTCGGCTGCACTTACCATCACTAGGAGCAGGGCACATTCCTTCGCATGACTTTGGACACCATATGGACTCGCGAGAGTCGATTTTATTGTCGTGATGACATACCTCACACTGGCACGTGAAGTCATAGGTCTCCTTCAATGCAGCCTGCCTTAGAGAACGAGGTAGGGTCGTGTCTACATATGAGGTCAAAATCTGCCAGTAATCGTTGGTCAGGGAGAGCATTTCGAGCAAGTGGGTTTTACTCGCCTCCTCATTGGGTGAAATGTCTCTGAGAGCAATGACTTGCATCTGCGGTTCCTCCGTGGGTTTTCGAGAAGATCGAGGAAAAACGATGACCGCGCCGGGATCACAAGAATGGTTGAAAAGCGCAACAAGCGGCGAGACTGATACCCCCACTGGTGTCAACGAGGGCGAAGTTAACGCGAAGGTATTCGTAACAAACTGCCAGATGCTAATCATGTGATAGTGGAATGATTTCGTGATGAGTGCTTACTCTTGAAATTAAATCAGTAAGGTCGCCCGCAGATAAGATGCCAAACTTCGACAGTTCTCTAGGAGAAGACAAGCCAAGATATCGAACCAAAGAGTGGGCAAGGTGAGTATTATTTTCAACGACACGAGGCTGCAAATAATGTCGATCTAATCCCACCTCGATTATAACGGGCGCTTGAATGTAGCGGAGAACTCACGAGACTGCAATGCATCGATTTCCTTCGACTGTCGGTGCTTTCAGTGGTGATACATATAACACGCAACTCTTACTCACCCAACTACTATCAAACCCTTCCTGCCTTTTCTGCCACAAAATTCGTCCCAGGCACCTGACAGCATCACTTGGGACAGATAGGTTTTTCGATGGTGCTGACTTGGCCCAGTTCCTCAATGCAGAGCATTCGAGTCGATGAAGTAGCCAATCATTTGTCTGACATGTCTAACACAGAGAAATTAGACTGATGATAAGGCAGTTTACGGTATCAGTGTAACTGACCGCGTTACAATACCAAACTGTGCGACATCCAGTACACCTCAACAAACCTGAGTTTGGCACGGCAGCACAAGTAGAACAATGTGAATCCAGATACTGGCTACCAAGTGCAAATGAATGCGGTCTTAGTGAAATGATAATAGAACCTATTTCGTGTAAGCGGTATATGGCTCTCAAAAACTGCAGCGAATTCGCTGACCAGCTTTGATTAATTTTTTAGCCCAAAGCCCCCTGCCTGATGTTGCAGATACCCGCATCTCCACATTCTCTGGTGTGCCGTGGTACACGGTGCATTCATTGCTGGGAGTTGGTGTCTCTGGATCGTTAGAATGGATCACTTTTGGAATGGTTGTAGAGTGGGGCTCTTGAGCATTATCCTTGGAAGTTACATACGATCTTGATGCCTTGGATTGCCTTTGAGATTTGAGACTTGCGAATGACATGATGCAGATGATGATCGATGATCCGTGACTTGATACGGAGTAAGTAAATAAGCAGAGTCTATTTGTTACTGTTTATCAGTACCTTCTGAATTCAATAGATCCAAACAAATGTATGTGAAGTCACCCGAATTTCGGAGGACTTGAACCAACACGTATTATAGGGTCGATGGGCAGTGCTAACTTCTCCCCACAGTACGATGGGTTACCAATTTTATTATTATACTTGCACTCATGCTGCTTTCCATATCCACTGCCCTGTCGTTCCACCGCCACGCACTCCCACATTCTTATCATATTCAGTGTGTCATGGTCAGAGGTGGGAGCGGATCATAATCCCTGCTATCTGCCCGGTCAAATTTTCCGTGGCCCGTGGCAATCTGATCATTTACATGACCCTGGCTGGAGATCCTGATTGGTGGAGATCACCACCAGTCACGATCTCCCTTGCAGAGTCTGCACCTTGTGGGTCCAGAGGCGTAATTGTGACGCGAGAAGATCAATTCCTCAGAGTAAGAATATTGAAAGAGTTCAAGGTTCAAGAGACTGATTTACAACGCCATGACCAGTGCGCTACAAACTCTGCGAGTCACCAACCAGAAGTTCCACCAAGAACATCCCTCCCTATTCAATATGGAGTGTAGTCAAGGAAAACGAGACCATCCTGATAAAGAATCAGCTTCACCAGTCCGTTACAAGTATTTCAAGCATACGAAGTTATATTTTGCAGAAAACAGGCTTGGGATTGCATCGCGCACTTAGAGCCAGTGCCGATAGCAGTGATGACCGTGCAAGTCACCAGTCAGCATTTTCGAGTCCACGCTGCGTACATTGTATGGTGAGGTCAAATGACGATGCCACTTTTTTGAGATGAAGTCTTACTGAAGGAATTTCAGCCAGAGGGTTGGGCGTCGCAGCCGCAAAGGTCGTCAAAGCAAGCAAAACATAGATGGAAGCAGTGGAGAGGCGAGCGAACATGATGGTGTGTCGATCTTATTTGTTGACACTAATGAGAGTTGTTAGTGTTGTCTGATCTAATTGGATTCTTATACCGCACACAAAAACTCCGAAGGGGTGCAAAAGAATCTGGTCTTCTTGCGGGGATGATAGGACGCGTGGAAATTTCGAACATGTGATGAAGTTGGAAAGGATGCCGAACAGGAAGAACCCGTCAAGAGTATTGAATCATAACACATACGTGGAATACACCAGCTTCCACTAAGTGGTAAGGCGCATCTTCTGCAAATGTATTTTGCGAGATCACGGCGGCGAGACCCTTCAACCCACTGTGATGCAATGACCTACCGTCGAAGTCGCAGCAAACAAAGACTTTCCCGAACGCTGTCAAGTTAAATATCAACACTCGCGCTATGAAGACGCATGGAGATCTCACGCAACAGAGCTAGTGGCGATTGACAGCATGATCTATCAGGAACCCAACTGATTATAGAAGAAGACAAAACGCGAAAAGACACGCATCAAACCAATACACTGGTACGCTCAGTTGTTATTATCGGCAGATCTTGAGGATTGTTACGCATACCCCGTCACGGGCCGTGTAGGACCAATAGTTCATGAATATTTCTTCCGAGCTTCCCGCCGGAATTGTCCCTGTCAAGGGACGTCAAGGGCCAATCATAAGTCATTCTTGCAGGCACCAATGGCTTGGAGTCGCGGCGAACTAGATGATGGGAACAGGTGGGAATACGACGTTCGAATGTAGTGACGTGGCGGCAGCGCTGGGTTCATCCTGGTTCATCAACAACCGAAAGATTTCATGCCCCACTACGGAAAAAGCCTATACCCTCGCATAGTGCTTCGCCGAGGTACGGACCCGCAGGTCCTGCGAATATGTTTTTGCTACTAGAAGCGATGAAAGGAACCTTGTGACTCAATCAATCCAAGGTCAATCCCAGGCAGAGTCCAGACACTATCGCCGCAATTTGCAATCGTCCCAGAACTCGCGTGCATCCAGCACACGCAGCCAGTTCAGATGGTGTGGCTGCCTCGCCGAAACGTAAATCAGAGCAGATCTGGTGATTGCAAGCAGGGAGGCCCAAACCCCGTAGACCGCCTGGTGCTTCTCAGACCGCTGGCTCCAGTTCTATTGTAGATGGAACAAGTGATGAACCTCCTTCGACGAGGAATGGTTGTCCTCCAACAGGGAGCGCTGCAAATGAGCCTAACGCCGTTGATTCTGCTCCAAGAGTCGACGCCAAACCCGGTCTAAGCGTCCATCCCGGCGTTCCAAATTTAACGCGTCACTGTCTGAACCAGCCCCGTTAGATGGTGATAGAAAACCCGAAATCGTACAGAACGTCTTCCTTCATCATTTCCTTCTGGCTGTTTGATATCGACTGGAACAACAGGAGTCTCCTGACGAGCCCCATGCGAGGGCAACTGCTTCACCAGTGGGTCCGTTTGATAGCATCCGCGTTTCGTTGGAGCTCCTGGACCGACATTCGTGCCCGTGGGCCGCCGTCCGTGCGTTAGGACCAGTGCACGGAATTTGGCATGCGCATGATAGCCGAACGACATACCTCTTGCAGAGTACCCTCGCATGAGCGTAGACAGTCACAAATATAAGTGTGGGCCATACGTAATATTACGGTAAGACAAAATTAAAAATAGCTGTAATGCAACATAATAGGTTCAATCAACTGCTTCGATCTGCTTCAAATCTTCACGTTCCTCGCGCTGAGTCGTTTAGCCATTTTCTCGCCGCGGTTACATATCGCTTACTCTTGGTTCGTTTATGAGGTCCTCGCTCTCACTTTTGCGGCCTTTGACTGGGCTTACGCGCTTATATCGAAACTCAAACACGAATTGGGGTGTTGGCCAGGGCATCATAATGTGATACCAAAACTCAAAATACTAATTGTCGACCATTTTCCACACATCCCCCGCTGAAGCCCACCACGCTATACACAGAGCCCATAGCTACCCCTCATACTGTTCACTGCGGTGGGATCAAGCTTGCAGCTCAGTCCAGATGAATCACAACCACTGAAGTCTCTGCCAGCCGCGGTGCGGTTGGATACCTTATCATACAAAATTGACACCATCACTAACACACACTCAATATCGCGGCAAAGAAGGCTCTTCAGGGATCTATCACTGATCTCGCAAGGCTGTACGACTTTATCACGACCAAGGATGCTTCCCGTTTTGCTCCCTTAGTGGGCATCTTCAATGCGGCGCTTGATTCAGTTCAAGTACCAAACTACGTCAATTCCAACACTACTTCTGTCATCATGCGCGCGAAGAGGGCTCTTCTGGGCCTGGTGTCGATTTGCACGGCTGACCTTCTGATGGTGGGGACGACGCTCTGACAAAATATATCGTGAAGAGGTAGGAACAGATATATCCATGGATGCGGCTCTTCGCTCGAAATTGCCTCCCTCCTTATGATGTCTCACTTGCTCCTCCGCCCCCAGATCTTTGCAACATTGTGCCTCCATCCCCTTACAGCCATCTGCTACAGATCGGAGGACTCAGGAGGATGCTCCGATCTTCCGTTTCTGTTCAGCACTTTGTCGCACAGTTATGGATATTGGCAGGAAATCTCAAGGGAGATGTACTCGCCGGTGACCCTAGAGATACAAAGGATGGCCGTGTTCCGGTGCTTCGGGCGGCTTTTGCGCTAACAAACTATGTTTGCATATCTGATTCTGAAGATCCAACCAAAATCATCCTTCCGTTACCCAATTATAGACATGCTGCCGGAGGGGTGAAGCCCGTTGCCACCACCCTTCTTAGATACATCCGTCGGGTCACCAGAGATACTTCTGCTGTAGAAGCACCTCGATCATGGACACGACAAGATCGGAGCGTACAACAAATATTTTTCTTCATTACCAGCCTCAGGTATTCCTTCCAGTTCATCCAGACCATCAGTCGCCAAGATGCTTCATGCCGCGCACAACTTACCCGTCAAGGTTCGATTCGTGTAGTGCTGAACGCAATTGCTCAGATCTTGCCAAGGACCTTGGTGCAAGCAAACGAGGAAATGGATTTTCACCCAGACATGGGACTAGCGGCCAGACAGAACATCATATGGACGGGGTGCTCGTACATTGCATCTGTGATTCGCGATGCAGACCACGGGATAACAGGTGTATGTCAGGCAATCGATGCTGGCCTTTTTGAAACCACGAGGAAGGGGGCTACCTGCCCGCCTCACTCCGACCGTCGCGATCAACCGCTCCGTGACAGCCTGGGTGACCTAGAGTTGCTCTCTCTTCTTCCCGCCTTTTTCATATACCGCAGAGTTGTTGATTCTATTTGTCGACACTGGTATTGCATACAAAATTCTCCGATGCCAGTGGACAAACGAGAGATACGCGACGAAGGTTTGGGGATTGCTCTCCAACTTGTCCTGACAGCTAGTTGCGATGCTATAGATGATGGCACTATAGAGCCTATAAACTTCCACGAATACAGGTGCAATGGTCCAGGAGTGCGCACATCATCTCTAGTGGTTTCATCGTGTGCATGCTGGCTAGTGTCGGATGCGCGCATCCGAGTTTGTCAGCAAAAAGTGTTGGTGCTCAGGCTGCTTGGTTCACCTTTATTGTTCAGAGAAATGCCAAAGAGCTGTTGGCGCAGTGGATACAATAAGTGGTGCCAAGTTCTGAGGTGCACCGTCGGTGAGTCTCTCCGTCTCCATCTCATACTTCGTGATCGAATTTTCATCAGGGCCATGGGGCTCACGCGATATCCGCAAGAGCCTTTAAGCCATTGGAGGCTTTGAAAACACGGAGATCTCGAATGGCCAAAGACGTGGAAACGCACATTTGTGAAGTACGGCACCAGTTCCCTGCATTCAATAACAAACTCGTGTTTATGCTCGACATGACTATGTTTCCGCCGGAGATCCACGTGCTCCCCCCGCACAAGCTTGAGCAGTTCCCTGGTGAGGAGCCCATATGGCCAGAGATCGCCGACGAGATTCGTGAACGAAGCGATTCGCCACCGAAAGGATACATGTTTTCGGTGGTCAAGGTCCATCTGGGAACTCGAAATTTACGCTATTTAGCCCAAGCACCGCGTTAAGTATGGTATTCGAGTGCCAGTATTTGTTGGATGATGAGTCATATGATTCTGTGGACGAAAATGGTGACTATGATGCGAAATCGCTGGGTGACCAGGACTTGGATCATGGTTCAGAGTCATTGGATGACGTGGATGGTTCCTAGGATAAGTGCTACAAGGTTGACAAGTCCTTATGTTATGTCTTCATTGACTGCATCCCTTTGTAAATTGTTACGCTGTACAGTACACGCAATACAATTCTCGTTGATTAATCAAACCAAAACGTTTTGTGTGCTAGGATCCGAAGTGATATAAATGCCCGTACTAGTCATGTAGAATCGATCAATCAGCACTTCGCTTGATTCTAGACATTGTGTCCGGGCTACTTACGTCCATTTCCCTCCAACGAACTACATCACTGCCACCTAAGTTGACGTGGGAGGGGGGACTGCCTGATGTGTATGGTGGGGTCAAATGATGATGCTATTTTTTGACACGAAGTCTCACATTAGCCACAGGGCTGGGCTTCGCAGCCGCCAAGGTTGTCAAAGCAAGCAAAACATAGAGGAAAGCAGTGGAGAGGCGAGTGAACATGATGGCGAGTTAATCTTATTTGTTGAGAGTAATGAGAGCTGTGGTACTGTCTGATTGAATCGGATTCTTATACCATACACAAAAGATCCGAAGAAGTGCGGAAGAATGTTCTGGTCTTTTGCGGGGATAATAGGACGCGTGAAATTTCGTAACATGCGATGGACTTGAAGGAGAAAAGATGAAAATAATGCTAGATCTATAAATCTATAAATCTTAAAAATCTTAAATCTTAAAAATCTTAAAAAGTAATCTATAAATCTATAAATCTATAAAGTAAGGGAGAAATGGTATGGGGGAAACCGTGAGAGACGCGTATTCCGCGTATTCCGGCAGTGTCGGTTGTTTCGGTTGCGTCGGTAAGGTCGCTGAAAAGAGGATCCCATGTGGTTCTGTCAAGCGGAGTTTGAATTTGCAAAACCGTTGTCCCTTACTATACGAGCTCACTGTCCAAACGTGGGAATTTGTAAAAATTGAGCCACAATGGGATTGGCAAGTGCTCACTGGCCCTCCATTTTGCACAACAACAATGAATTTTATATGTACTGCAACTGTGAATACATAATAAATAGTAAAAATTGAAGGACAACAAGGGATTTTGGGATTTTTGTGGGGAAAAGAGAAAAGAGAACACCAAGCAAGTAGAAAAATGTGAAAAATGCAAAATGCAAAAATGTGAAAATGCAAAATTGCGAAAATATAAAGATGGGAAAATTTGGCCATGGGTAAACAGAGGAATGGGAAGATGGAGAATGGAGAAATGGGGTGAATAGGAAGATGGGAGGATGGGAGGAAAATAGGAGGACAACAGAAGGATGGGAGAACAATGGGAGGATGGGAGGACAAGAGGAGGACAAGAGGACACAATAGGAGGATGAGAGGACAAGAGGATGGGAGGACAATGGGAGGACAATGGGAGGATGGAAGACAGGAGGACAGACAATGGGACATGGGACATGGGACACGGGACACGGGACATGGGACACGGGACACGGGACACGGGACACGGGACACGGGACAATGGGACATGGGACATGGGACATGGGACATGGGACAATGGGACAGTGGGACACGGGACAACAGGACATGGGACAACAGGACAACAGGACAACGGGACACGGGACAACAGGACAAACAACAGGACAACAGGACAACAGGACAGTGGGACAGTGGGACACAGAACCATGGGACATGGGACACAGGACATGGGAGATAGGAAATCAGATAATTGGGAGGAAGTGTATGAGTCAATAGCATGACACAAACAGTTTGACTGAAGGTTACCTGGGACACTGGCTTGCATCCCGCTGGCCGAGGCACGAGGCCACGGGATTGCAAGCCTGTGTCCCAGGTAACCTTCAGTCAAACTGTTTGTGCAACATCCCATAGCTAAAACAAAACTATATAATATTTTTTAAATGTAAGATGTAAGAATTTATTTATTTCACAAAATTAAATAATATGTAGACACAGTGAGGCAAGGCACCTTTGGTGCCTCCAGCAGAGCATGAAATGCTCTGCTTGCTTCCTGTGCCGAAGGCACAACGGGCTTGGACTCGTCTATAAAGTAAGGGAGAATGGTATGGGGGAAACCGTGAGAGACGCGTATTCCGCGTATTCCGGCAGTGTCGGTTGTTTCGGTTGCGTCGGTAAGGTCGCTGAAAAGAGGATCCCATGTGGTTCTGTCAAGCGGAGTTTGAATTTGCAAAAACCGTTGTCCCTTACTATACGAGCTCACTGTCCAAACGTGGGAATTTGTAAAAATTGAGCCACAATGGGATTGGCAAGTGCTCACTGGCCCTCCATTTTGCACAACAACAATGAATTTTATATGTACTGCAACTGTGAATACATAATAAATAGTAAAAATTGAAGGACAACAAGGGATTTTGGGATTTTTGTGGGGAAAAGAGAAAAGAGAACACCAAGCAAGTAGAAAAATGTGAAAAATGCAAAATGCAAAAATGTGAAAATGCAAAATTGCGAAAATATAAAGATGGGAAAATTTGGCAATGGGTAAACAGAGGAATGGGAAGATGGAGAATGGAGAAATGGGGTGAATAGGAAGATGGGAGGATGGGAGGACAAGAGGAGGACAAGAGGACACAATGGGAGGATGAGAGGGCTACAGGAGGACAAGAGGATGGGAGGACAAGAGGAGGACAGGACAATGGGACATGGGACAATAGGACACGGGAGAACAGGACAACAGGACACAGGACATGGGACACGGGAGAACAGGACACGGGACATGGGACACAGGACAATGGGACATGGGAGAACAGGACAACGGGACATGGGACACAGGACAATGGGACACGGGACAACGAGACACGGGACATGGGACAATGGGACAACAGGACACGGGACAACAAGACATGGGACAATGGGACATGGGACAAGATAATTGGGAGGAAGTGTATGAGTCAATAGCATGACACAAAGAGTTTGACTGAAGGTTACCTGGGACACTGGCTTGCATCCCGCTGGCCGAGGCACGAGGCCACGGGATCGCAAGCCAGTGTCCCAGGTAACCTTCAGTCAAACTCTTTGTGCAACATCCCATAACTAAAACAAAACTATATAATGTAAGATGTAAGAATTTATTTATTTCTCACAAGTAAATAATATGCAGACACAGTGAGTCAAAGCACTGAAGGTGCCTCCAGCAGAGCACAAAGTGCTCTGCTTGCTTCCTGTGCCGAAGGCACAACGGGCTTGGACTCGTCTATAAAGTAAGGGAGAATGGTATGGGGGAAACCGTGTGAGACGCGTATTCCGCGTAGCGCACATGGTGTCGGTTGCGTCGGTAAGGTCGCTGAAAAAAGGATCCCATGTGGTTCTGTCAAGTGGAGTTTGAATTTGAAAAAACCGTTGTCCCTTACTATACGAGCTCACTGTCCAAACGTGGGAATTTGTAAAAATTGAGCCACAATGGGATTGGCAAGTGCTCACTGGGCCTCCATTTTGCACAACAACAATGAATTTTATATGTACTGTAACTGAATACATAATAAATAGTAAAAATTGAAGGACAACAAGGGATTTTGGGATTTTTGTGGGGAAAAGAGAAAAGAGAACACCAAGCAAGTAGAAAAATGTGAAAAATGCAAAATGCAAAATGCAAAAATGTGAAAATGCAAAATTGCGAAAATATAAAGATGGGAAAAATTGGCAATGGGTAAACAGAGGAATGGGAAGATGGAGAATGGAGAAATGGGGTGAATAGGAA